CCATCCATCAGAGCTAACCCCTCCAGGCCAGCGGCTCCATCGGCAAAGCCATCACCCAGGCCCTCCTCGAAACAGGCCTCCACACCATCACAGCCCTAACGCGATCCACCAACCAAACGCCCCTCCCCTTCGCCATCCCCACCATCCCCATCGACTACACCAACCCCACCAGCCTCACCAACGCCCTCATCAACCAAGACTGCCTCATCATCACCCTCTCCGTATATGCCCCACCCGACACCCAATCCAAACTCATCTCCGCGGCCTCCGCCGCCGGAATCAAGTACATCATGCCGAATATCTGGGGGTGCGATGTCATGCACGACCCGCTGGCCAAGGGCGTGATGTATTGGGATCGGATGCGCAGTGTGCTGTCTGAGATTGAGGAGAAGGGGATGATCTGGACGGCGTTGGTATGTGGATTCTGGTACGAACATAGTTTACTTCTGGGACCGGGGGGGTTAGGGTTTGATTTTGCGAATAGGAAGGTGACGATGTATGATGAGGGAGATACGCGGATTAATGTGAGTACGCAGGGGCAGTGTGGACGGGCGGTTGCGAGATTACTCAGTTTGAAGATCTTGCCGGAGGATGAAGAGGATGAGGATGAGGGGGTGACGATGAGTCGGTGGGCGAATCGACCGGTGTATGTTTCGAGTTTTTTGGTCAGTCAGAGGGATGTGTTTGAGAGTTGGTTGCGGGTGACTGGGGAGGAGAGGGAGGGGTGGACGGTGGAGAGAGAGGAGTCGAAACGCAGGTATGAACGGGGAATGGAGTTGTTGGGGAAGGGCGATCAGGAGGGGTTTGTGTTGGCGATGTTTGCGAGGGTGTTTTTTCCGAATGGGGATGGGGATCATGAGCATCGAGTGGGGTTGGATAATGAGGTGTTGGGATTGCCGGGGGAGGATTTGGATGAGCGGACGAGGGTGGCCAGGGCGATGTTGGAGGGGGGATGGGATTATTTTAGTAATCGGGTGAGTGTATAGTCTTGATACCTGGTGCTGGTTTGTTAGGGTTACCATGTATGCATTGTACAAGTACATGCTCACAGAGGAAATGATATCTTTTCTATGCTGCAATGAAACTATTCAGACTTTATAGGATATGGTTATTTCTTCTTCTGAATCTCAGCCACCACCGCCGCCGTCACCTCCTTCGTAGTAGCCTGACCTCCCAGATCCCTGGTCAGAACGCCCTGCTCGCAGACATTCTCGACACACTCGAGCAGCGTACTCGCAGCCTCCTTCTCACCCAGCCAATTCAGCATCTCCACTGCCGTCCAGAACGTACCCACCGGATTAGCAATCCCCTTGCCGGTAATATCAAACGCAGACCCATGAATCGGCTCAAACATACTCGGATGTTGCCGCGTAGGATCCAGATTCGACGTGGGCGCAATACCAATAGACCCGGCCAACGCAGCCGCCAAATCAGACAGGATATCCGCGTGCTAATTTATTAGCTCTCAAATCTTCCAACCTTTCAAGCAAGCAGGGTGATTTTGGGGGGGAAGGGGGGGGGCATACCAAATTCGTCGCCACAACGGTATCAATCGTCTCCGGCTTCAACACCATCCTGGTCGTCATCGCATCCACGAGCATCTTATCCACCGTCACATCCGGAAACTCCCGCGCGACCTCCCTCGCCACCTCATCCCACAACACCATCCCATTCCGCTGGGCATTACTCTTCGTGACCACGGTCAACAACTTCCTCGGCCGTTGCCGCGCCGTCTCAAACGCAAACCGCATGATGCGTTCCACGCCATGACGCGAAAATATCGCCGTCTCGGTCCCAATTTCCCATGGACGACCTTGGTGCGACCGACCGCCTTGCCCGGCGTACTCGCCCTCGCTGTTCTCGCGAACAATCACCCAGTCGAGATCCCCGGGTTGGCAGTTCCGGAGGGGCGAGGAGGTGCCCCGGAAGATTTTGGTCGGGCGGACGTTGGCGTATTGTTGGAGGGGTTGGCAGATGGCGAGACGGAGGCCCCAGAGGGAGATGTGGTCGGGGATATCTTTACTCACTTAGCTCGTTGTAGAATGGATGGGTATTGGGGGGGATGGGATTACCGGGTGCACCCACGGCACCGAAGAGAATAGCGTCGTGTTTCTTGAGCTGGTCTAGGCCGCCATCGGGGATGTATTTTCCGGTTTGTTTGAAGGTCTCGGAACTCCAGTCGTAGTGGGTGAAGTTCAGTTTGAAGGTGTTGAGGGTCTCGGCTAGGGCGTTGAGGGCTGTGATTCCCGCTTCGATGACTTCGGGGCCGATCCCGTCGGCGGGGATGGAGGCGATGCTGTAGGTTGGGATGGACATTGTATTTATTGGAGATGATTGTGTTGGAGAGAAGCAGGTTCGTGCAGAGTATATATATGAGTGATTGCCTCCCCGGGCGATGAGGGGGAGCCACCGCCTCGGTTCGGTTGAATGGCGTCTGCGGAGGAAGAAACCCCGGCGCTGTCGGAGGAAGATACCTCCGGCTGGTGCAGCAGGGCCTTCCAGGTACAATGCGGTGATAGGTAGCAACTACACCCAAATTATTGAACATGAATCACAGACATCCCTGTTCACTACCTCGTAACCAGCACCAGAAGCTCTAACAATGACCCCATCCGACATCAACCGCGCACTAATCTACACCCTACCCTACATCCACCAGCACATCACCCACAAACACCAACACCAACACCAAATCAAACCAAACAGAGACCCTTGATCCTAGCCCTAACCGATCTCCAAGGCAGCGGCAAACCACCTAGACAACCAGCCTCATCCGCCTCCTCAACGACAAATACAACCTCCGCACCATCAATGTCTCCCCGATAAGCACTCTATGCGATCATCCCCTCTCCCATATTATTCAAATCAACGAGAATCAGAAAACGTATTGTGAATCGTTCATGGGACCTAATCAGCTAGGTTTCCTGCTCCATTTGGATACGGATGATTTGGGGGATGTGTATTTGTGGAGGATGCAGCAGGAATATGCTCTACATCTGGCGAGGAATGGGGATGAGTGATGGGGCGGTGGTAAGGTTTGTGAGGGGGTATATACCGGCGTATGAGTTGTATTTGGATGCTGTGCGGGAGGGGATTTTCGTTCTTTGGCGGTGGAGGAGAGGGGGAGGGGGCAGCTACGGGTGGTGTTGGATGGGGAGAGGAGGGGTGTTGAGATGGTGATCTATAGGTAGGATAGTTGGTTAGGTTACAGAATCAACTAAGCGGGAATAAGTATATCCATTGTAGCATATTTTTTACAATCCCATCCACTTCACATGCATCTACTGAACAACAAACTGGGTGGTGTGGTCCTTGTACAACACACTCGAGTCGAGGGTCTCACCCGTGGTGGAACGGATAAAGTCCACCTGCAGGGAGGTCTCGTTGAGGAACCGAAGAGTAGCGTAGCTGTAGTCATCCGCATAGGCAAACGCCGTGTACGAAGGCTCGGTGCCCACGGAGCTCAATCCCTCAATGTTACCGGCACCGCCCGCGACAATGTACATGGGCGCCTTGGGGTTGTTGAGACCGTTGGCGTCGGCGGTGCCGTTGAAGACGGGCTGGAAGCGCTGCGAGTTGTGGACGTGGCCGAAGACACCTAGGTCGACGCCATATTTGTAGAACACACTCTCGAATGCCTCCTGGCAAACATCGCAGGCGTTGCCGTCGCCGGTCGTGTACCAGGGTCGGTGACCCGCCACTACCACCCAGGGGGTCACGGTCCGGTCCACGCTGGCCAGGTCCGCTTCGAGGAAGTCCAGCTGCTGGTCGCGACCACCGAACGGACCGGTGTTCAGGTCCGCGGAGCCATCCGTGCCGTCAGGGGCATCCTTGAAGTCGGTCTCGGTGTCGATCATCACGACGTGCACCATGCCGTACTCGAAGGAGTACCAGAAGGGCGGCACGGCGAGACTGCGCGCCGTTTCAGCGAGTTCCTGGGCGGTGGTGTTGGTGGACTGGGAGGGGAAGGCCGTCGGCACGGTGCCCTCGAAGCGGTGCAGGAAGTCGGTGAAGTTGCGCTGGCCTTCGGGGCAGAGGCCGGAGGTGTAGGGGATCTCAGTGCAGTCGGCTTCGTGGTTTCCGGGGCTGGGCATGTAGAGTCGGTTACCGGCGATGGGGGCCAGTTGGTCGTAGAAGCGCTCCAGGATGGATTGGTAGGCTTCGGACCCAGAGAGCAAGTTGTCGAGGTTCAGGTACCAGTCATCGGCGTAGGCAAAGTCACCAGGATGGATGATTAGCTCATAGTCGTTGATCGTGTCCGCCAGGCGGCCGATGGTGGTGTGGTTGAGGTCGGGTTCGACGTGAGGGATATCCGACTTCTTCGCCTTGCGGGACGACAAGGTGTAGCCGTCGGTGCCGTACACTCCCAAATCGATCACCACATCCATGTTGAACGGCGTGGTATCACCAGGCGTGCGCGGGCTCAGAAACTGCTCCACGCTGGAGTTGCCCGACACGATCTTGTAGTAGTACGTGGTGGCGGGAGTAAGCCCGGTCAGGGTCACGACATTGGAGTAGGTCCGAGAGGTCGAGTAGGTGGTCGACTTGGTCGAGCAGGCCTCCGAGTCGAGGTTGTTACTCGAAGTGCCATACTGGACACAGCTCTGGTTCAGCTGCTCATAGGTGTTCCAACCCACGGAGACCTCTACAGGAGGTTAGGGCGGCTCGAACGGGGGCTGTAGAATCACTCACCATTAGGACCATAGATGGCCAGGCGCTGCTGGTACGGAGTGGTCAGGTCCTCAGGAAGGGTGGGAAAGTCGACAGCCAGGGCGCCCACGGCGAGGACGGGCAGCGCCTTGCTCAGAGTGAGGAGCTTGGACATGTTGAGCGGTGTTGCAATCTGAGAGCTGTATCGCAAGCTGGACAGCACGTAGATCAGGAAGGCAATCGATATTTAACCTGTCAGACCCCTCCCCATCACCCGTCTCCAGGCATGAGACTGCAGCATGACCAAGAAATGCGCCCATCCGCGGCACGTGTGAGGAAGTGGGGCGTGGCATTCTCGACGGTGATGAGATGTTCGGAGGCCATGCTGGATAGGGTTATCATCTCCATGCAACGTGCCCCGGCCCGAGTCTCTGCTTGGAACTGTCACCCAAGGAGGGGCCGGGCTTCATTTATTCAGGCGGGTGATTCCTCACGGACGTCCGAGTGGCCTCCAGCCGGAGCCGTTACGGACGCACGTGGGATCGGCGGGGGCTGTCACTGCTCAGGGGCAGCCGAGGCTATTCCCCGCTGTGGATCGCGTCTCTTCCTGCGTCGCTTGTCGATCTCTCGGCCTCCGTCGGCCGCTCCGTGAAGAATGACCCATGCGCGATTTCACCCAACAAAAAAGTCGCCGTGGATCAGCCATGGTCCATCGGCCACACTCCAGCCGTCGTTGAATGCGTTCGAGCTCGGAATGCCTTCGCCTATGCCATAGGAAAAGCTGCTCCCCGCCTGGTCCCCAAACACCATACTCGCGGGGTTGAGGCTGGGGTCCACGACGGAGTCGAAGGCAGGAATTGCCAAATCAGTGAAATAATCTGGCGCGGAGTCTGCAACCTGGTTTGGCCTCGGAAGGGAGACCGGCTGTCGAGTGTCCACTCCGTACTCATCCGACATCGGCAAGGCGTGACGTTCGTGGATACTGGGATCCCTTCGCTGAGACCACTGGCCCATGGATGGGGTTGGTGTCGCAATATGCCCCTGGCCTGTGTGACCGCGTATGGGCGAATCCACTCGACCAGACTCCGACCAGCCCTCCTGCGCATTCTTCTCCAAGGCCAAGCACAGATCCTGGATGGCTTCGATGCACGTCTGTGGCCAGTCGCGTTCTCGTAATGCGATATTGCGAAGTACCGAGATTCCAATGCGGGCGTATCGCAGAGCTCCTTGGTTGGGAAAGTGCCCGGTCCACGCTGCGTAGATCAAGATCAAAGACGACATCCATACAATCCAAGTGAAGGAGGGCGAGATCAGAGGTGCGCCTTGTCTGTCTGAATCGCCTTGCACCTCAGACCGGGCATTGAGATAGCCATGCAGTGCGGCTAACAAAGACCTGGAGGAGTTAATACACGTCTGGAAGGCTGCCTTGTACTCCGGCGTAGGGTTATCTGTCGCCAGGACCGGGCGGTGCAACGCAATGATTGCCTCATGTCGGGATACAGTCAGTAGAAGCCTGTGCAAAGGCTTCAGAGGCGAATCGGGGTCGGGTTCAAGCGGGTGGACGTCGTCATAGACCTCATTCCACCACTGCAGCAATTTACTGTTCACCTCGGTCGCATCAGTCGTGTTTTCACGACTATGCATGATTGACTTGTTGCGCAGTTCAGAAATTAGTCCGCGCAACCGAGCAAACTTGGCCAAGTGATCGAGGAGTCGAAGGCGGCTATCTATTCAGCATGGACGTCAGTTGTCATCAACCAGCCAGATAGATGACCTTACCCGCACAGGACACGCTGTCGTCTCTCTCTGTTCGGTGTCTTTCCGCCCCTGGATAGCAAACGTCAATATCGTCATCCCGGATGCTGAGCGGCACCCCCAGCGCCTGGGTTAGGTATCGTTCGAGACAATAGATGGACCAAAAGAGCCGGCGGCGGATAGCCACATCGTCCGGTGTAAAGCATGAATACCGCGCCGGACAGCGGTGTAATCCCAAGTGAAAGGCCGTCCGGGTGACGAAACCTCCAATCCGGGAGGCTGCATTCAAATGCAGAATGGATGTCAGGAACAGCTGAATGCCAAAGGCCGCCTGCAGCGATGCGATCGAGGAAGGTTCGTCCAGCAAGTCCCGTAGACCATTCGTCGCTTCGTGGACTGTCTGAAACACCAGCTCGGCCGGTACGGCTGATATTGCCGAAGCAGACTGCCCCTGCCGGGCATCGATGGCGGAAATAGAGAAAATCGATCGGATGATGGCCGCATCGGATTGGGGGATGAACTGGATACCGACTTGACTCATCCGCTCCATTGTGCGAAGGATGGACGGAGCATGATTGAATGGGTAGACCGGATGCCAATTCTGAAAGTAATTGTCCGACAGCTTCACCAGCTCCTCAAACCGAAGCGATGGATTGGTGAAGTTGACCTCCTCCGGCCTCCACAAGGGAGCGTGAGCCCGTGCTTGGCCAGGGCGGAGATGATCGTCTTCTCCGGGCACCAGACTTTCGTGACCGGCTCGGGCCTGTCGCAGGTCCGCCGACCGCCGAGCAAAGGCTTGGTAGACGGTGCGGACAAAGTGGATTCCGCTGGAGCTGCCCAGGAAGCTGGCGGAGGCATCATCCTTGCGCATGATGCCCAGTTCGCGGGGCGATGGGCGACTGGTGCCGGGGGTGGAGGCCCGCTTGCGTCGCTTGGCGGGACGGACATCCTGCGAGGCTTGCAGTTCGTCTGCTGGGGCTCCCGTGGTCGGTGAGATGGGACTCATTGTGTTGTAGATTTGATCTCAGTAAACACTCTGTTCCCTTGGCGGGTCCTCAACGGTTGGTGCCTGAGGGTGGAATGTATCACATGACCCACTGGCCGGAGGTGTTCAAGTCCGGTGGCTTCTTCCACGACGAAGGTGGGTCTGCTTGATTCTTGGGTCGCTGTCCCCAACTCCAATGGATGAGGGATTAATTCCAGGTTGGTGGAAGGGTTAGTTCCCCACTTAGGGTCAATGGGATGGGGATGGTCCAGAACGAGAATGAGGACGGAGGGGTTACTCACCCCCGGAATGCAGTCGGCCCGCGGGGAAGATTACCTCCGGGGCGAGGAGTTCGGTTGCCTCGGCCAACCATCCTCTACTGTACGGAGCACTCCTAGTAGCTTTTCACATCGAGTATTCATCTCACTGCCATCAACGTGACTTCCCCTGCGGACTCCCTCAGGCAAGTGACACGCAATGGGCACGGGTAAGCTCCATTTTTACGACTTGAACAATGGTGTGAACTGACAGTACTCTTCCAAGGCAAAGACATCAGCCCCATCGCCTGCGAACCATGTCGACAGAAAAAATGCAAGGTACGATGATATCCAATTTCCATTCTCATTACTCACCAAGATGATAGTGTGATCGGACATTGTAAGCCTCCCGCACGCATGGCAGCACAACATCCGGGAGATCCACCGGCTGATACATATCCCGATACATGGTAGGCCCCATTGCAACCAATGTCCAGAAGCATCCAAATGCCATTATCCTGAGAGTGGCAAGAGGTGGGCATACATAGTTTCTACCCCGTTATACCAGAAGCTAAATTACAGGGTTCAATTATAGAGGCCTACCCCTCGGCTACCTAACTCAGCTCGAACAGCGACTAGCAGACACCGAGCTCGCCCTGTTTGAAGCGCTCACCACGCTCCGCTCGCTGGATCATGATGGTGATCTTGCCAAAGCGTCACTGAAGCCAGAGGTTGAAGCAAAACAGGGCAAACATGCCCGGATGGAGGAATGGGGTCGATTGCCGCTGCGGGAGCAGTCGGATACCTGGCGTTGGTGGCGAGCTAAAAATGATGAGTATATCAGTGAACAGAGTCCCGTGGGAAGGCGGACAGAGGGAGTGAGTTCGACGCTGGAGGACAGTCAGTCGGCGGAACTGGGAGGGTCGTCGGGCCTGAGGTCGAGAAGGAACAGGACTGATCCAGTGACTATCTCTGCAGAGGCGTCGGCTGACCAGGGTTCGATAATCTCCAGCAGTCCAAGGGATAGTCATGCCAGGGTGCTCAGGAACGATGATTTGGGACAAGCCGTTTTGGAACATTCCCTGAGAAGCCATGGTCAGAGAAGATTAGAGCATGATGTGGATTCACGCCTGGTGATCCCCCGCAACCAGGGTGAATCGGACACCTCACATATTGGCGCAGAAACAGCTAGTACGGACAGAGCGAGCATTCTTGCCAGCACCCAGCCTTCGCTTTACTTCTAATGCATTCCCTATCTCTACTCGTGGGGAATGGTAACAGTCAGGAGGATGGAGAATAAACGTAGGCATGAATTTCGCCTCTCTCAGATTACTTGGACATCTGCTTCTGCATGAACAGACACTGTATCAAAGTCCTATGTACATAAAACCGAATTCCTAGGACCCACTCATTTAGGCTCTAGGCGTCACTAGGGGAGTCAGGCATTTTCCCTTTCTTCAAAAGCAACGTCTTGCTTCTCTTGATCCCTCTGGAACAGTTCCGCCTCTGTCACCTCTCCTTGAGGTAGATGACGAGCCATGGATACGACCTTCCACGGCGTGAGAGCGTCCCGGAACACATGATTCAACAGTTCCAGATTGCGATTCATGGTCTCCGGGTAGAAGACGAAGACGCTGACCGGGATGCACGCCGAAATGACAGCGTAGATAATGTAGTAGCGATAACCGATGGTATCCAATGCGACCGGGGTAATCATGACCACCACAAAGTTCCACAGCCAGTGGTTTGCGGTGGACACCGAGTTCATGGCGGTACGCAGATGGATGGGCGCTACTTCCGTGCAGTAAAGAAAATTACCCCCCAGAAAGCCAATGGGGTAGAAGAGGTTGAACAGAAAAATGAACGTGGCGGACGCAATGGAAGCTCCTTTATCACTCGTTCCGAAGCTGGTCGTGACCGCCAACGCAGCCATGCAAAGACTCATTCCGGTGCCGCTGATGATGAACACGGTCCGGCGGCCCAGGCGGTCGATGCAAAAGAATGCAATGAAGCAGCAGAGAAACTTCCACGTGAGCGCGCAGGCCGCCAGAATCTTGGCCAGATTGGCGGTCATGCCCAGATTGTCTTCGAAGATGGTAGAGGCATACACCGAAATCAGATTGCCGCCACACATCTGCTGGAAGAACTGCAGTGCGAGACAGAGGAGCAATCGGTACAGCAGACGATCCTGGTCGTCTTTACGGAGAAGGATATCCACGAGAGAAACCTTATCACTGGTTTCCAAAGAGGACTGGATCCCGTGAATCTCAGCCGCGACGGCCTCGTTGGTCTCAGGAACGCCCTTGTAGGCGGCAAGGGAGGTCAGTGCCTCACTCGTACGGTTGACTCGCACAAGCCAGCGCGGGGATTCCGGAATGAGAAAGACAAATAAAGTAATCACAAGAGAGGGAGCGAAGGAGAGAGCTAGCGGGATCCGCCATTGTAGAGTCGAGTATGGCAGAAAGGTGAAGGCAAAGTCTAGCCAGTTGCAAAGGGCATAACCCAGACACATAAAGATGCCCGCCAGAATAACATGACGGCCTCGACTGCTGGCCTCGGAGCACTCTGAGAGCCAGATTGGCACCGCAACACTGAACTGGCCCACACCAGCACCCAGGATAATGCGGCCAAGGACAAATTGGACCAGCTGAAAGGCAGCCACCTGCAGAACCTGTCCGACTATCGTCAGGATCGCGCCCACGAAGACTGTCTTTCTACGGCCCAGACGGTCCCCAATGAACATGCAGGAAAAGGCCCCGATCAGTGCACCGATCTGGAACGACGCAATGACTGCACCCTTGCTGGTGGAGTTATGGGATGCCTGTGCGCCAGTGGTATTGACCGTATCGATCTCGGGAAACGTATGGACCCAGCTTTCCAAGGTTGCCAGTGGTCCTAGGCCGGATTGATTGTAACCGAAGAGGACAAATGCCGGGGCCACAATGAGAGCAATTTGGGCCAGCTGTAAGGATTGGCCAGTGAGGCCAAGGGGTGTCACTTTGGGTCTGGCCATGGTAGGAATATAGGTAGGGGTTGCGAGAAAGGATGAAATAAAACAGAGAAAGGGGCAGTTGGGACGCTCGATTTATACCAGATCCCGGGGCAATGCCCAGCCGGCTCATTTCTGCCCCAGTCTCTTCTTCTGGGGCCCCGCAAACCAAGACATCCAATGTGCATCCGGCTCTGGGAGGCCTGGGGTAATGCCGCAGAGCTCCACTGGAGACCACTCAGCGGCTGACTGCGACATCGTGCCACCTTGCTTCAAAAAGATCGTCAATTGGTCTGGTATCAATTGTGGAGGCATCATGCGTCACAACCTCGCTTACGGGGATGCCAATGACAAGGGGCTACGTGACACAAGCTCCGTCGAGACGGTGAGACCCTGAGGTACAGAAAGCTTAGTCTGGGATTCCTGTGGGATATATCCTCCAGTGGCCGCTGCAACAGCAGGTCAATGATTAGATCCAGCCCCCTGGAACCCAGCTTGTATGTTCCAGGTGAATATGTATTCATGGTAGATGCTCTGCCGTGTCTGCCGTGGGACCAATACCGGGTTCCGAGGTGAAATATGGGGATACAGTCTAGTGATGCAATCCCAGCCGGAGGTTTCCATGTCCGCTGCCCCTAGCCACCATCCATCATTGTTGAGTCAATAACCTAGCCACTCGAGAAAGCAGAAATTACTAGGCGCATGGATTCAACCTTTCGGTTCAGGATCTGCCAGGAGAAGGCCATGCCTTGGCAGCCCACTGGTTCTTATGTCGTGATTGGTATTAGGCGTGCGTCCAGTGCGGCGGACAGTATACATCCGACCCGAGGCCACGGACAATGCTTCCTCCGAGGACCTCTTGAATATTGTGCAGATGATACTGGATGCCAACAGTCATCACATCTTACAGTGAATGTATTCTGACTGGTCTCTGCTTCATTGTGGTAAGGGTGTCGGGTATTAACCAGAAATTCGAGTGCAACAAGTGGGACGAATATGTCTACTGTGTCCCGTCCAACCAGCGGGCAATCTGCCTGGCTCGGACAGCCGCGTCCTCCAACGAAACATACCCTTCCGGAACCCGCGCAGCAAAATTGATGAGGGAACGCTGCACCGACCGCGCCTTCTCTGGTACTTCGAATTGCTCCTTCGACCAAGTCCACTCGATCTCGTCTACCTTATCCGTGGCACGATGATGGACGGAGATGGTGGTGGATGGATCATGCAGCGAAACCCCCGCGGGCGCGACCAGCCGAATGGTGCCCAGTTCACAGCTTAGCGTCCAAGAGAGCAACGGATCCCCGGGGTAGGTCTGGCTCCGGGCAAAGTAAGCCATCAGGCTGGCCCCCGGAACGGTGTAAGGGGATTCTGGAAGGGAGCCTAAAGATGGTGAGTTCCCTGTGCACAAAGGCGATTGATGTCGTGGTGTAGTACGCACCATGCAGACCGAGGAGATCAGGCACATCCGAGTCCACCGTTTCCACAATGGTCCCCGACTGGGGATCGAGAACGGGGACCTTAGTATGCTGGATCTGGGTGTGTACTTGATCGGTACCGGGGATGACATCCCCCACGACGGATTGCACAGAATCAATCACTGTCTGCGTCAGCACGCTCTTCTCCCGCTCACCTGGGTATCGAGATCAGGGACGAACTATGGCCAAACCCGATGGTGATGGGGTTCCCGCCCACTTTCTTCTGGGCGAAATACTTCAGCCCAATTGGCAAGACGTCGCGAGCTTGCGTCCCTGCAAACCCGCGAACCTCGGTGCTCAGCAACCGCCCGAGCTGACCGGAGCGAAGGATTTCCTTGACCTTGAGTACAGGGGGTGCAAAGCGGGCCTGCAGACCCACGGCGACGGAGGCACCACTGGCACGCGCCACGGAGAGGAGCTCCTCCACCTCGGCGACCGTGCTACTAATCGGCCACTCGATATAGACCGACTTTCCCGCCCGGACGCTGGCCAAGACGGTCTCATAGTGTTTGTCGACGCGGGTGGTGCAGATGACGAGATCGACGGTGGGATCGGCGGCGAGATCGTCGGGGCTTCCGTAGGCTTTGACGGTCGCAGGGTCCAGGTGGTAGGTGCGGATGGCGGATTCGGCGGCGGCGACACTGCTGTTGCAGAGGGCGGTGATTTGTATGAGGGCCTGGCCCGAGGGACTCTGGAGGGCAGGCAGGTGGGCATCGGCCGCCCACGCGGTGACGGCGGAGGCGGACAGCCCGATCAGGGCGGTTCGAACGGGGGTGACGGACATTTTGACTGTGACTGACAAGAATTATATTGGTACCGAAAGAAGTGAACCGTGTTTCTCCTAGTTATTTATCGTGGGGGATGAGACGGGGGTTGAGGGAAGGCTGACAGTCTCGGATTCGATTGTAGAAGTCAGTCGGAGTTAAGATCACCCAGGATGCCGATCAGCCTGACTGTCGGATCCTGGGATCTCCGACGAGATTTTTTAAAGGTAAGCATATCGTGTGTGTTGTAGCCATGTGGTGTTGGGAACGACAACTAAATGTAGAGCCTATGAGAGCCATCGGAATGATCAGATCACGAAGGGACCCCCGATCGGCGGGACTAACCTTGAGATGATGTAAACACAGGAATGGCGGGCAACTGTTCCGGTTGGAGGAAGGGGCACGATGGAGAGCAACCATGCCATCTCTAAACTCTAAGGCGAGGTTCCACCTGCCGAGTAAATCCCGATAAGCTCAGACGCACGATCGCGATCGCGATCGCGATCGAGGTAAAGGCAGCCAGTCGGGATGGCGATCGCCAAGCCCAGATGACTCGTCATTGAACTCTCTCTTCCTACCCGTCGATTCCTGTTCGTGCTGGAGGATGAGGGAGAGGGAGCCCAAGGTGCCCAAGGTGCCCAGGGAGGGGGAGGGTGGAAGTGGAAGTGGAAGTAGAAGTGGAAGTGGAAGTGTTACTCCGTCCACCCTCCACATCACCCTCAAAAGATGGGTTCCCGCGGGGCTGCCTCAACCCTCAGGCCTCGTCGTCATGACGCCACAGGTACAGCTGAGTCAGCCGTACTCAACGGCGCCCAAGCCTGTTCGGGCCTAGTGTCGGGCCGGCGGGAGTCTGGCCCGGTGGGGGAGCGAGAAGCAGTGACCAATAAGCCCGTTGAATGAGCCAGGCAAAGCCGGTTTTGTGACGGGTCCGACCGTCCGCTGGCTGGCAGTGGCTCGCTTAGTAGTCCTCCATCTTCGGCGGCATCTCGCCGTCTCGCCGTCTTGTCATCTCTTCCACTGGTCGATCCCTTTGTTTAACACAGTACTTACTGAATTGTTCGTCGGGGAGGACGCCAGCCAGTGGTCAAGCCTCCTTTCCTCTTCCGGGCCCATCTGCTTTCCCGGCTTCCCCACAGTCTTTCGTTGCCATTCCTTTCTCCAACCCGTGCGGGTCGGCTTTTTCTTCCTTTCTCCCTCCTTATTTCTCAGCCCTCACTGCCTTCTCTTCTCTCTTTCTCCTGCTCTCGATCGCTTTGACCGACACCCTCTCCCCCCCCCCCCCCCTGTCGCCCCCTCCTCCCCCTTCCCGCCTCGTACGACATGCCCGCAGCCTCCCGGGTGTGATGGCGGCCCCCTTACAGCAATCCGAGGCAGAGCGAGAAAGAATTCGGGATCTGTCTCGGTAAGCCACGCTCCAGATCGACCCTCCGCACTTGGATCAGCTCTGTACAGCTCCCCTTAAGTCCCTTGTCCTGTGCTAATCAGTGTTCCGGCGAATCCTGCAGGTACTATTGCACCGTCGATCGCCCCGCCCTCCGACTGGAAGCCGCGGCAGAGGAGAGTCGCCACTCCGCCGAGAACGAAGTCCGCCTCTCCTCCGACATCACCCTCACGGCCTTGGCCCAGCTGGCTGTCTTTCGCTTTTCCTGCAATCGTGCCTTCATCTCCATTATCGATGGCGCCAACCAGTATCTCATCGCCGAGGCCACCAAGTCCGTGTCGCTGCGGGATAAGGACCAGCATGACCCCGACGATGGCATCTACCTCGGCGTGCGTACCCTCGACCTGATCTGGGGGGTCTGCCCCCATTCCATCGCTCTCTTCACTGGCCAGGATCCCTCCAAGATGGTCGATTCGCCCAATCTCACCGCCAACACCTCGCGTTTCGTCGTCCGGGACTTCACCCAGGAGGACTTCTTCAAAGATCGTCCCTACGTCCTTGGCTGGCCATACTTCCGTTTCTACGCCGAGGTCCCCTTGTACAGTCCCGCCGGCCATGTTCTCGGCTCCTTCTGTGTCATCGACGATAAGCCACGCGGCGAGTTTGGCGATCGGGAGGTGGCCTCTCTACGGGAGGTCGCTGATGCCGTTGCCCAGCACCTCGAGCATGTCCGCATCTCCCATTCACATCGCCGCGCCGAGAGTCTCGTCAAGGGCTTGACCAACTTCGTCAAGGATCATCCCGCCTTCGATCCGACCGATGTGCCCGGGCCCAGCAGCGGGGCCACGCTGGTTCCCAGCACTCAGCCCGTGCCCCCCGAACCCCTGTCGCTGGCCGAGGACAACCTCCCGGAGACTCCCGCTCAGTTGCAGTCGACCTCCTCCGAAATGACGGGCGATCTGACCTCCTTGTTCTCCGCGGTGACATGCTCCGAAATGACCGCCATCTCCACCTCGGTCAATGTGCCCGGACCCCGCCTCTTCACCGCCGTGCCGGCCGACGAACCCCTGCCGACCGAGGGCTCGGAGACGCGAGATTCCAGTGTCGTCGTGTCCGACCATACCGAGTTTCCCGCCGTATCCGTCGTCGACCGCCAGGCCCGCTCCGAAAGCCTAAGCCGCATCTTCACCCGGGCCAGTGTCACCCTGCGCGACTCGATGGACCTGGATGGGGTCGTGTTCCTGGACGCCAGTCGGTGTAACGCCGGAGTGTGAGTAGTCCGCCCCGAGAGGGTTGGAGGAGGAATATTAACGAAACAAGCAGTGTACGGCCCGGACAAACCGGGTCTTGGGAGCCCTTACCCACCACCGCCAATCCCGAATTCCTCGCCGATCCGTATCCCAGCCCGGTGGACCTCCCGGGCGTCGGGTCTCTGTCCAACATCTCGGAGAAGCCGTGTGAGGTGCTTGGGTGCGCCCAGCAGCCGTCCGTCGGAGAGGCACACGGCGGGCTGCCCGTCACCGAGTCCCTTCTCAATCAGATGACCGCCGCCTTCCCCCATGGCCAGTTCTTCAATCTACATGAATGGTTCGACGCCGACGGGGAGGAGCCGCCCGCCATGCGTTCCTCTCATCTCAGGACGGGCGCCAAGTCACCCGCGGCGGAGTCGGAGGCCGAGACGCGGCACGAGATCGCCCGCCGACTCCGCCAGCACTTGCCGGAGGCCTATTGCGTGCTCTTCTACCCCTTGTGGGACTGGAACCGATCGCGCTGGCTGGCGGGAACCCTCGTCTGGACGCATGCCAGTGACCGCGCGCTGGGCGTGGACGAGCTACACTACTTCAAGGTGTTTGGTGATTCTATCATCTCGGAGGTCGCCCGCTTGGACTGGGCCAGCACCCAGCAGTCCAAGTCGGACTTTATCTCTTCTGTCAGCCATGAGCTGCGGTCGCCCCTGCATGGCATCCTAGCCAGTGCGGAGTTGTTGCAGACCACCCCGCTGCATTCGAGTCAGGCCCATTGGATGAACATGGTCAAGAGCTGCGGTCTGACCCTGCTGGATACCTTGAACCATTTGTGAGTGCACCGATCGCCCGGGTTCGTTTCGCGTGAACTAACTGTCTGCAGGCTGGACTTTGCCAAGATCAACAACTTGACGACCACGGAAGACTCCAGCCCGGATCCGTCCACGCCCAGTGTGACCAACCTCCTGTCCGTCTTCGACCTAGATGATCTCATCGAAGAGGTCACCGATGTTCAGTATACGGGCCAGCGGTTGGCCCAAGCGGTGGCCCCCTTGACCGGACGTCCAGTGCAGGCCCCATTGGCGCGGTCGGACGGGGAGCTGACGGTAGTGGTGCGCGTGCAGGAGCGCAACACCTGGCGGGTGCAGTCCGTGGCCGGCGCATGGCGGCGCATCGTGATGAATCTGCTTGGCAATTCCTTAAAGTGGACCAAGTCGGGTTTCGTCGAGGTGTCCCTGTCCAAGGCCCGCCGCGAGTCCAACCCGCATTCCGTCCTGGCCCATCTGTCTGTCACCGACACCGGTTCGGGCATTGCCCCGGATTTCCTTCGGCACAAGCTATTCTCCCCCTTTACCCAGGAAGACTCCCTATCGGAAGGTTTGGGTCTGGGCTTTAGCATTGTGCGCCAGCTGGTCGCCTCGTTGGATGGTCACATCGATGTCCGGAGTGAGGTGGGCGTGGGCACCCAGGTCGATATCTATATCCCTGTGCATCCCCTGCCGGACAGCCTTTCGCACGCGTCCCGCCGCCCGAGCCCGGAGGATCTCGGCTCGCCCGCCCTTCCCGTAGCGGCCTGCCTGATCGGGTTTGACGGCTATCCGAACCCGCGGGAGATTCCCACAGGCATTTTGCCGGCCGAGGCCAAGCGCAAGCTGGCCATCCGCAGCTCACTGACCTCGGTCCTTGTCCATCAACCGGGTTGGACGCTGATGCTGGCGGAGTCGCTCGACCACGCTCGGGGAGACGTGGCGGTAATTGAGGAGAGCGATCTGCATACGACGTCCGGCGCCTGGGAACTGGCGAGGAAGGGAGGCTCCAAGTTCTTCATCGTCTTAGATAGCAACAAGCCGTCTCCGCCACTCGAAACGCTGGCTCCGAACATGATCCGGGTGTCCCAGCCGTAGGTGTGATCCTGCCTGCTCTTCGGATGAGTGCTAACGGTATCTTAGGTTCGGTCCGCAAAAGTTCGACAACGCGATTAAGCGAGTGCAGACCCTGTACCACGAAGCTCGACTGAATCGCGTTCCATTGCGGCCCTCTCCGACGCCGCTCCAACCTTCCCGACCCGCCTCCCCCGAGCTGTCGCAACGGGCGCCCGACTCGGCCCTGGACCTTGCCTCGCCGTGCCCGCCGCTCGACGCCGCTCATTCGCACCCTCCCAGCAAAGCCCCCAAAGACATCCACGTCCTCATTGTGGATGACAACGATATCAACCTGAAGGTGGGTTCTCGATTCCTTGCTGCCGGTGGGCGTGCTAACTCGGGTGGGTAGATCTTGGCCACGTTCATTCGCAAAATCGGCTGCAGCTACGACACTGCGTCCAACGGGCTCCTCGCCCTCAATACCTATAAGGCCTCCAGTCGACGCCACGATCTCATTTTGATGGGTAAGCGTGCCCCGCGATCACTTAGGATTCCGCTGACCGGACGTGCAGATATCTCGATGCCGGTGATGGACGGCATCGTCTCGACGGGTCACATCCGTCGGTACGAGAAGAAGAACGGACTCATCCCCGCGCGTATCATCGCGGTGACCGGCTTGGGATCGGCAGACCACCAGCAAGAGGCGGTCGCGGCCGGGGTGGATGAGTACCTGGTGAAACCCGTGTCTCTGCATGGGCTGCGAAAAGTGATGCGAATTTCATGATGACGACCCTTCACGATACCTCTCTCCGGTCTGCATACATACCCCGTGGGATCCTTGATCCAACCCTGTGATATATTTCCTTCTTCTGCATACTTCATAGTAGACAAATGTATATACGATTATTTGCCTCATCGCCCACACCGACGTAGTACATGACACGAGCACATGTTGCATCCTCGCGTGCGGCGCCTGTTGTCTCTTTTCGTGGATATAGACTGGCGAATTTCCCATCACCCAGGCAGTTCGGCCACACCCAGTAGACCACAAGTCCCAGCGAGTAATGATGGTGATCGATCCTGAACCGTTGCTTGATATACTATTAGTGGCAGTCTGACATCAACAACAGGTGCTGTGGTCTAGTGGTATGACGTCACGTTGTGGCCGTGCCAGCCCCGGTTCGATTCCGGGCAGCGCCAATTACAATATATCTTTTTATTTTTTGTTTTTGCCGCCGGATGGTGTCCTGTGGTCCTGAAGATATCTTTGAAGGCTGAGAGCGAAGTGCGGTACTCCGTGGGGATCTAAGAAATGGCAAGTTTTTAGTCCGCTAGAGAGGGAAGTTTTGTCCTACGACCCGTGCAGCGCGTTAAACCGGTACGATTCCTATGTACATTTCAGAAATGTGGTGGTTGGTTTATATTTTCAAGTTAGCTAGATCTGTTTCATTTCAGTTATTATGTTATGTCATGTTAGAAGGGACTGGTAGTACTGGTGATAATATATTTAGGGAGCCATTCCCGACCGCCTGGGTTGGCTCCTGCCTCACTAGTACTAAATACCTCCCCAGTTCACATGTGCGATAGATCGCTCATCTACAGCACCCAGATAGATCCCTTCGCGTTTCCAAATCTGCAGAATTCTCACTACGGAAGGATACAAGTACAATGACATATGAACGGAAGCATAAAACCGGAGGTGTGCACTACGACCGCCGGAAATATATAAGGCTCACCAACTCCACCATTATTGTATCCGCCTTATAACACCGATCTCTCACCGATCGCTGCCGACGGAGATCGAGCATGATGTGTATCGCCCCCCTGCAGGATATCTCCGACTCTCGGTATCGGGGTATGTCGATAGGCTGGCGGCAAAATACCTTCCAACGCTGCTTTGATCTGCAGAGCGAGGGTGCGCGAGTGCCACCGGTGCTGCTGCGTATAGCCCCCCATGACCCAAATGTTTTCAACTCTCACATGTCGCTTCCACATGCCACGAATCTCTCCCTCCTCATCAAGACCCCACGTCGCATCCAAGCGGGAGGCAATGTCTCGTGGTCTCCAGATATGCGCCCGCTGATCATTGGCTTCAGCTTCCGCCACAGACCTCTTTGCGTCCGACTGCCCACCAAGAATCTCGGTGGCAGTGTCTACCACGTTGGAGTCACTGAAGCCCGTACACCACACCACAGCATCGGCATCGACGCAACTGCCGTCGGAGAACCGAAGACCGGTTTCCGTATAGGCGACGGGCTCCACCCCCGCCTTGACCTGGACATTCTTTTCCGCGATCAGCTTCGTGCCACCCACATCGATATAATGCCCCCCAGCACGTTCTAGGAGGTTCTGCATCAAGGCACAGGTTGGGTCTCGGCTGTCGAGAGTAGGGAACCCCGCTGCCTCTAGGGCGGCGTATCGCTCTGGCTCGTTCGAAGCAAACATTGCGAACAATCCACGACTCAACTGCCCATCCACGACGGCGGGTAATGATAGGAACAGTTTATCAGCTGCATCCACGCCCGCATTATATGCACCCAGACTGTTTGGATGACAGACATACTCGAGCGGGACCACATAAGTTGGGGATCGGGCGACTATTGTTGCCTCAAGGCCGGCATGGTGGCAGTCCTCAAGGACATCGAATGCTGTGTTCGCAGAGCCGATGATCATGACCGTCTTGTCCAGTTAGCAGCTGCGTGAAAACAATCCCCTTGGCATCTTTGGATTCAAAGACATACCTTCGCTCCCTGTTCTCGCAATAGCTTGGCGTTTTTGTACTCGACCGAGTGAATACTGATCCCCTTGTACAAATGAGGATCTGCAATCTGGGGAATGCGAGGCTTTTGGGACCCAATACCCGTCGCCATGACGAGATGCTTCGAAGTAGCCCTGCGCTGACCAGCTGGTGTCTGGAATGTGATACTCCACTTTTTGGCCACCTCGTCATACTCGGTCCACTGGATTCGGGCGGAGTGGATAACATTCAGGTTGAACGACTCCACATATCGACGGACTTGGGATGCCAGGTCCTGCCGTGTGAGAAGATGAGGAGATTGAAGCTCCTTGTCATAACCTGAGTTGATCAGTGATCTTACCCCAGGTGAACATTAAGATGCGGTGACTGACACATGTAAGGAAGCTCACAGAACGCAGTGGGAATATGAAACCGCATGCAGTCGTAGCGAAGAGCCCAATTGTCACCAGGACGAGCATTCCGATCCGCCATGACGGTCTCAACGCCTAGGGCCTTCAGACGGGCGGAGAGAGCAACGGCGCTAGATGAATATCTTATCAGCCAACCATGGAACACAAGGAATGACCTCTGTGCCTTACGCGTTGCCAGCACCGATGATGAAGACGTCTGTGTCAAAGTCCGTCGAATTATCGAGTTGCCTTCCAGCGGATCGTAATAGTCCTTCGTCTTCCGACTGCATGTCCAAGCTTTCCAGTCTCGTGCTTAGTATCCAGATCTTCCAGGAAACTCCCTGGTCCTCCCTCACCACGGGCAACAATAGCATCTTCCCCCGGCATAGGCCGGCAGGTGATTCGGTTCTGAATATGAGAGGACAATCGATGAATTGCTAAAGCGGAACGCCAATCATCAGTGCCAGTTAAGAATGACATCGATTTTCACGACTGCAAACGGCACTTACAAGAACGGGGGTGGCCGGGAGAAATGTGGCGGCTCCATCAATCTCAATCTCCCCGGCGAGTTTCCTCAGCTTGGTCGTCTCCAGAAGGCTGGTAGCGACGGTCTCGGGGCCGCTGAAGGTGCGCAAGTGCCATGTCAGAGCCAATTGGTCCTTCCAGTATGCCTGATCTGCATAGAGACAGGCTTGAAGTGTTTCGCCATCGTCCGTGGCCAAGGCAGTATTGAGACGAGTCAGAGTGGCGCGAGCTTGAGTGGATGCTTCGTCCCCAGCCATCGAAGAAGGATCGATCAGCCCGGGGGTCAGAGTGGGCAGGGGGTGGCGATTCATCATCTCGCGCAAGTCCGCGCGCGGCGGCTGCTCGGTACTGGCTGACTCGATCCTGCTGTTAGTCGTGGACATTATGCCATCTTTTTGGGAACTTGGAAGCCTCACTAGTCGCCATGATTGAGTGTAAGGTGCTGGAAGTTCACATGGTCCCCAGTTCACACCCACCACACGGGGAGCAAGACCCTTTATGCCATCAATTAGAGGGGAATGCAGGTGGGGACGGACGCAACGGCTCGTGAATCTTAACTCCCATAAGGGCTAATGGCGGCATAACCTCGGCCGATTTCCTGTCCCAGTCTCCCAGATGGCTCGGCAAGGGGGGCCAAGAGCATCCGTGACTGGTAGATACTGACACTTAGTGCGGGATTGGAATGAGGGGATAGGGCACGGGACGCATTGGTCCTGGCTGCACCGTCACCAACGCCACTGTCAGATTCTTTTGGCTCCTGGACCTCAGCGGCCCGGTTCCGGGTGGTAGTAGCGCTCCTTCGCTCCTCTAGCGTGCCTTTAGTCGCCTCCACCGCGGGTGATTCGCTTTGTCAATTCGACCTATCCACGTCTCCTGGGCTGCTCTTAGCCTCTTTCAGGCTTGCCTGAGATTAGGTCTGTCCCCGGCCGAGTCGCTATTCCGAAGAGCGAAAGAGGACGCTCTGTTTCTCCCCTGTGGCGGCCCATAGATCGACCGATGATCAACAAATGCCCGAGTGGGTATCCCAGAGATGAGTCCGAATGTAGGAAAATTTGAAGCCTTGACCCCCTCCCACCACCATAAGACTTCCTCGCAAGTCGTTCACACATGTCGGATACCTGGCCATCGGTGAGGTGAGATACTTGACGCGAGATGTCACCAGAAGCCCTGGCGAAGCTCCTTGCTGAGCCAGCTCTGGCAGCGCCGTCCGGGGTGACTCCAAACTTTGACAACCCCCCAAATAGCAATACTCTAGCATGGGTGGTGACGACCTTCTGTACCGTGGTCGCCACGATTTGTTTTCTTTTACGATTGTTTGCTCGGATCTGGCTGGACAAAAAGCTGCGCGTCGAAGAGAGTGAGTGATGGTTGTCAGATGCCTGTCGCGATGGTGAATGGACAGACTAACCCTCCATCTTTGTTGGAATAGTTTTGATGATTGGCGCATATGTACCGTGCCCCGATACCAGTCCCCGTCTATTCATGCCGTCCATCTAATCTTCCATCCCAGGGCGCCTACTGGGGCACGGCTTACGCAGGTTACGCGTTGATCTATTCCCCTGGATATTACGTTCATACCTGGGATCTGTACAACAAGGATCTGATCAGACCCCTTTATGTACGTTACCCATCTCGGCAGGGACCAGAACTAGACTCATGACTCATGGTGGCAGCTCATTCTCATCTACGGATGCTGCTACTCGGCCGTCCTGCCTCTGATCAAGACGGCGATCCTGCTCGATTGGTGCCGCATCTTTGTTCCTATGGACCGGACCAGAAATGCCTTTTGGTGGGGATGCGCAGCGGTGATATCGTTGCAGTGTCTGTGGGGGGTGCTTTGCATCTTATTGTTGAACATGCAATGCCGACCGCACGAAGCCATCTGGAAGTTCTATCTTCCCAGCAAATGCTACTCTTTGCCCGATGTGATGCTCACCTCTGCCAGCGTACAGGTGGTATCGGATATAACCATGTTCTTCCTTCCGCAGCGAACCATTTGGCGTCTCCAGATGAATTGGCAGAGGAAGATCGGGATTTCCATCATCTTCGGCGTGGGGATTCTGTCAGTTCTCCCCATGATGACCCCTGGCACTATCGAACAGTTCAACTAACAATCTCGCGTGGTAGTGCCTCTGTCGCCGCTTGCTTCCGTCTCGCCCACACCGTCGCCTTCGCCAACACCACCGATACCATGTATCTGATCGGACCACTCCTATTCTGGGCATGCGGAGAAATGACCTGTGGATTTTTCATCTTCAGTGTGCCCTGCCTGTCGAAACTCATCATCGAATCGGGATTGGCGCGTCGCGTGAAAAGCTCCCTTGGCTTGAGCCCTAAACCCAGCGAGCCTTCCTACGAAGACTCTGAGCAACCGCACCGCTTGGGATACCACCCTATGAAGCCCTGGATGAATACCGATATCACCTGGTCGACGATCGACGAGGGGGATGTTGCCCTGAGGGGCTCGGGCAAGTCGGAATCTCAGACTAATCTCCATGGCCATGATGCAGATAATGCCGTGCATATTTCACAGACGGTAGAAGTCAGTGTTTCGCCTCGGGGTTCTCACTCGAGTGAACAAGACCTTGCTACAAGACGTCTATGATGATTTTTATACCCAACATGGCTCCCCCTTTGAGATAAATAAGATTTTTTTGTCGTTTAAGTAACTTACATAGAATAAGTGGCTCCACTTGACTTCTTTACTTTCCTTTCTTTTTCCTTTCTTTCTTTCTTCCCATCTTTTCCCTTCATTTCTACGTGTGGGCGAACACTCCGTGGTCGGATACTCGCTGGGTCGGTAGTATCAATATCATTATCATTGCATGCGACATGTGCAACAAATGACACCTGACAATAATTGTGTTCCAGATGGAAATATTTTCCAGGTTTCGAGATCTTCCTACTCCCCAAACTTCCCATTTTTGGACGTTTCGATTAACCCTCCGATCCTCGATCTACAAAGCAGCTTGTCTTTCAATCCCAAGGCAACCAACCCCACCGCACAAGGCTGACAACAAAAGCAAACATGCAAAACGCTAACGCCGCATCTCACGCCGATCCCCTCCACCAGCCAGCCAACCCACCACCACACCTCCCCCACCCATCCACCCATCCTTGAGATCGCCATGGCCGAACTTATCGGCCTGATTTCCTCGATCATTGGCATCGCCGGCGCGGGTCTCACCCTCGCCCAAAAGCTGCACGACTACGCCGACGGCGTCTCATCGAGTAGTCGCCGAGCCCAGCAAATCGCCTTTCACGTGCGCACTACCGCAATCTGCATCGAGGAAGTAGGATCGGTGCTAGAAGAAGAGGAAATCGCGGACCGGGTGCTCGTTTCGCAGAATGCGTTGAACACGGTGAGGGATATTGTAGAGCAGTGCGGTGATCTTTTTGAGGAGATATCGGGTGCGGTGAGGAGTGCAGAGAATGGAGGAAACGGGATGGGGAGGTTACGGTTTCCGTTCCGCGAGTCGAGGATTGTGCTGATGATGAGTGATTTGGAGAGGTTGAAGACGACGTTGCAGTTGTTGATGCAGGTGGTGGTTTATGCGCGGGTTAGGGCTGTGCAGAGGTTGGCTTTTCCTTCTTATACTGTTCTAGGGGTGGTCGCTTGCGGGTACATGTGCTGAGAGTTGGTAGTGTTCATCAACCGACGCAGCGAAAGCTCGTGGAGGAGCTTATTGCCTTACGGAGACAGGCTTTGGTCACCTATAAGAGGAATCGGAAGGAGGCTGAAAGAGCTGAGGCGACAGAGGAGAGGTGAGTCCCATTGCCTTGATCGTATCACAGATCTGATCGATGTGAATAGCATCTCTGCTGCGACATTACCTGACGGTACTGCCGGGCCAGCAGTCCTGGCCAGCACGCCACGGGAGATCTCAACTGGTGCCAGAGCAGATTATACCATTGCAGCTAGGCCATTAAACCCAACAGACGACCAGCCACCGCCAACCCAGGAACCCGAGATGGGAATATCCAATATCACTATCCAGACTGCTACTCATGCACCCAACCCCCCCAGTCCAGTCAATGGCAAAAACCCGCCAGAAAGCTCTCCAGCTGGCTCTACGCCCGCAGACAACATCCCCTTGCAATTAATCCCTACCCAACCATCCAACCCAAAGCAAAAGACCAACGCCAACCATTCCACCCAGGACAATGACACCACCCTCAACGATTTCCTAACCACCTTCCTCAACTCCCTAAAATTTATCTGCTGCTGTCCCTGTCTGTACCTCCACCGCCGATCCACTCGACAGCAACAGCTGTCTGATCCCGGCTCCGATGCTCTCCTCGGCATGGGTTTCATGCCCCGCTACCCGGGCGAAAATCTCCCAGTGAGCCCTCAAGCACGCTACGAGAGTGCAGTGCTCTCCCTGAAAGCTCAAGGAATGAAACCATCAAGGCCAGTTGCGTGGTCTGGTCGAGGTGGCTATTCTGTAATGGATTCAGGGAGTCCGTTTCGTGGGTTCGGGGAGGTAGGTTTCTCTCGGTCTGGGGATGGGTTGTTGGGTGATGTGGATGAGGTGGAGGAGTTGGTGAAGCGGTGGACGAATTTGTATGCGCTGTCGGATGGTTCGAGTGTGAGGGGGGTGGATGGGTAGGGTGAGGTTTTGATATGTGATATTGAAGGTGTGGGTATGTTGGCTGGGGGTTGAGTGTGAGTCGTGGGGCTTCTGGAGACTGTTATCCTTTATGAGGCGGAACGGTATTCTTGCTCCTTAGGTGGGGGGTTGGGATGGAAGAGAAGGCAGGGTGTCTCTGGTTATATCATGTGGATTATGTGGTATGGATTGTATGAAATGATCACGCATTTCGCTAATCCAGCTCTTGAATGGACGCAAGTTGTTTGAAGTAATAATACCTAGGCCACCAGGTGTAAACAGACTTATACTTCCCGATGGAAGACGGGCCACGAGTTAGCTGTGCCCAATCTAGAGAAGCGTGCTAGCTGTATTATATCGGATGATACTACGTCTACCCTCGCGCTCTACGCCAATCTCCTCACCCGGATCAAAGTATATCCAACGAATATGCTGATGGCTGATGGTGTGGCCAGTACTGCCCATAGCCGACCGTGTCCTCCGGATTAATTACTTAGCTTCACTGTGCGGTGACGGTAGAAAACAAACCAATCCAGGTTTGTAATCCAATCAGAGAAGACATATGTGATAGGTCCTGCGGACTAGAATACTGCAAGCCCTGGGATTCGTGTGAATCGCACTCAATGAGCGGAGTCGCGCTCATACACCCGTAGCATGACTAGAAGTCTGTCAGGGCGGCAAATAATGTCCTGCCATTCGTGAATGGCAAGACTTGGCGAGCTTGAGATCCCGTTGAGGATTGTGAATGAACCGGACCAAAGCCCGAAGAAAGTGCACCGTGTGCAACTGACAGACGATAATGAGCCTGCCAAGGGAGTCAAACCAGACGACCGCCATGCCAGATACAGTCATCTCTTGGAAAATATCTGACTGAAGCTTGCCCAGATAGGTTAGGATACTCCCGACAATGAAGAGCGATCGGCAGGGAGCACCGCATCTCGCAACATCGCCTGATGCAGAGGGTCGAGCCCCCAGTCACCAGCCCATTCCCTCATGCGCTCACCACTCTTGAAGTGCTCCGCCAGATGGTCTGCTCGCTCAGTCCACGTCGGCATAGCGAGCTGGCAGAACCCACAACGGCTCCGCACGTCATTGGTGACTATGCGACAAGCCTCGATTCGAAGCGCGGGGACTTTGGTACAATGGTGAAATTTGTGGAGGTGCTGAATTAAATGATCCTTTCGACGAAAGGAGCGCTCCGAAATGGGTCGGTCGGCACACACATCGAACTCGTGAGTGGAGAAATGTGATTGGGATCCTTGGGTGGCATTGCAAAAGTCACACGGTAAAGCGTCCGACCCAGGGATAGTAAGGATGTCGGGCCCGATGCTGCAGATCCAAGATTCCAGTGACAGATGAACACTCTTCTCATGACGGGTCCAATCATGCTTCTTCTTGAACGAGTCAACACAAAAGGTGCACTGGTATGGATTTTCCGCTGCTGACCGATGCCTGGGTCGTCGCCGTGACTGGGATCGAGACGGTGCCTCTGACAGTGGAAACGGCAGAAAGCTTTCCGAACGATGACTCCAGGCCGACGATAGACTCTCCGATGAGGCCTGGGAAGGCTCACTGTCAATGCTCGAGATGGAGGACGCGACGTGCGTGCTAGGACTAGCGTTAGCGGATGCGCTCGGGCAATCCCATGCTGCATCGGTGGCTGCGGCGGCAATGGCGTTCCGAATGGCCGATTCCGACACGGGTTCCTGATCTGGTGGAGACTTCTGCCATCTTTCCAGCGGTGTCATACTGGTAGAGCGAGAGACGGGCATGGGGGAGCCACTGCGAAAGATCTGACCGGGCCGAGACGTTCGCCGCGCCACCCGGTGCCGCCGTCGCGCATTGGCAAACCAAGTGGATATCTGCTTCTCCGTGAGACCTGTTTGCTGGGCAAATTCAGCCTTCTGTTCCTCAGTAGGATACGGGGCATGCTGATTGCGATAGAGCCAATCCCGCAACACTTTCGCTCCTTTTCTCGAAAACCGCGGTTTGTGCTGCCCATCATGCTCACTCGGCGCTGGCTGATGCGCCGACTCCCTTTGTTGATGTCCTAGTTCCGACACGCCTGGAAGGTCGATCATGGAGGCCAGCTCCTCTCCTGTCAATTCTGTAACCCCGTGTAGATGGTTGAAGACGGGAAAAAACGTCTCGAAGCCGGCGGGATGGCGCTTCTCACCCCGGGCGAGGCTACATTCGCGGAAGAGGGCGACGCAGCTAGAGCACGAGGTGACGGGGTTTGGATTGGCCGGGGTGGTGCGGATAATAAGACACTGCAGTCGATGCTGCTGGCAGTGGGCGCAGGGCACGGAAGGACGATAGGCGCCATCTAGCCATCGCGAAACACTGAAATCATCGGTCGGCGGGACGGTAGAGTCGGTGGGACCGGTCTGTGGGAGGTCGCCTGAGACCTCTCCGGTGAGCAGAGGATCGAGAGGGGAAAGGGCAGCAGGATTTGCATCTGCAGGGTAGACGGCATCGGGATGGGTGTAGTCGGAGGTGGAGGACAGCCACTCCGCCCAGTCATCGTCAAACGAGGCTTGCGGGCTCTCGGGGAGTGAGACCTCCATGATGACCAATTACCAGTCAACTGGACTAAGGCACTGGAGACCCAATTGCAGAGAATGGCATTGTGAAAGAAGCCAAACCAAAAGAAAAAGCACGGCGGAAGAAGAACTGCGGGGAAGATGAGGAAGTGAAGCGGAGGAGGAAGATTAGAAACCGAGGGCGGGGAGCTGGCAGTGGCAGGGCCCTACCGCCTGCCGTGTCCGGTTAGACTCTATATCGGTCTCTAGTTCGTCTCGCTCACTACGGAACAATCCATACTCCATCTATTGACATTCATCAATTCTATTTACACAACCATCATTTCGTCATCTTCCACGGCCTCCTCTTCTGCAGAATTGCTGGATGAGCTGCCGGAGAATCTCCCCGAGCTGCCTAACGCTGTCAACCTCGACCCATTCTTCCCGCGAGTGCAGACCCGCCCCGCACGGTCCGAACACAATACTAGGGATCCCCGCCTCCGTGAGTAATGCGGCATCGCACCAGAAAGGGACACTCTGCACCGGTGGAGGATGGCCAATCACGCCTTTGCCGAGATGAGCCACTTGTTGAACCAGGGGATGATCTCGGGGAACGTGTTGGCTGGGACGCGACAGCGTGATGCGAGGCTCCCGGTACCGGAACCCGGGATTCTCTCGGGCTAGTTGGTCCAAAAGAGCACTCAGATCGTCCAGGATCCCCTGGTTGGTCTGCACCGGCACCGTCCTATACTCAATGGTCAATGTGCAACTGGCGGGATATGACGAGACCTCCTCTCCTCCCTGGATAGTGCCGCAGTGTAGCGACCCCTGGCCCAGGACCGGATCGACAGGGAGCTGCGCCTGCGATTCGCGCAGAGCCTGCAGAAACAAACCCATATTGATGATGGCATCCACCCCGTCTGCCGGCTGGGAACCGTGCGCTGCCCGTCCCAGGATCTCTACCTCCACCCAGACGAACCCTTTATGCGCATGCGCAATGACGAGGTTGGTCGGCTCTAAAACCACCCCGGCATCAGCCCGCCACCCAGCAGCGATGATATCCGTCGTCCCTTGGGATGCATCTTCCTCATCGGCCACCGCAGCGATTATCACATCTCCAGCCAGCGATCTCTCTTGTGCGACTAGCAGGGCCGATAGGCCAGCAGCTAGGCCCGCCTTCATATCCAACACGCCCCGTCCAAACACGACCTCTTTGCCTTCCTTCACACCGAGATGTCCGGTCAGCGCGTCCCCCTCGTAAGTCGTCAGGCTGACTGTATCGACGTGCCCGTTAAGCATAATAGATGATCCTCCGCCAGTACCACGCACGATCCCCACCACGGACGGGCGCCCTGGTACCGTTTCGATACGGTGATGCTCAATAGCACGATGGGCAAACCAGGCGGACAGGTAGTTGACAATGGCCGTCTCGCCCGCTCCCTGAGACTTGGACAGGGTCGGATTGGACGAGTTGATCCGCGTCAGCACCTGGGTTAGTTCTACCGGGTCGTCCATGGAGACATCCTCCGGGACCTCGTAGGGACGATGGCCCTCCGTACTGAGGAGTAAAATGACCGATTCCGGTGAGAAAAAGGCAGAGCTATCCCGATGCTCGGCCTTCAGGCGGCGAATGGCAGCCAGACTAGCGGCACCACAAGGTCCGGCGTCGACCGACTGGGCAGTGAGGTCCTGGACGGCGCAGTGACTCTCCCAATCCGAAATGGTCACACTCGCATCTACCAACGCTCGCAGCAAGGGCCAGGCGGCACTCGACACCGTGCCACAATTCATTCCCGCCATGATGCTAGGACTGGTGATGACCGACGTCGGCACACCTTGTTGCAGGCTGTGCGTCAGGCTGGGCGCGGTATCGGGCTCCACGGCCACGACCGTGGCAGGGACCTCTCGCGACTTGTAGTATGTGGCCACGGCTTGGGCGAACGAGCCCACGCCAACCGGCGCGACAACCAGGGTATTCAGCAATCCCAAGGCGTGCAGTTGCGCGTCTGCCTCGCACAGCATGGTCGAGTAGCCTTCCACCACCCATGCTGGAATGTCCTCGTAGCCTTCAAAGGCCGTATCTTGGATCAGGATGCCCTGTGCCAACTCCGCGACCGAGTCGGCCGCAGTCTGGACGGCCCGGTCATAGTCCCCGTCGACGACCACCACGTCGGCCCCTTCGGACCGAATCATCTGCTTGGTGTATTCGTGCATGGTGCACGGGACGTAGATGCGACATTGCAACGACATCCGCTGGGCGACCCGAGCTACGGCTCGGCCGTGGTTGCCCTCGGTGGCAGCGACGAGAGTAATGGCTGCACTGGTCTGTACGCGGGCGACCAGGGTCTCGAGGGGCGTGCCATCAGGCAACCCCAAGGCTGCCGAGACGGCGCGGTAGATGGCCCAAGAGGCACCCAGTACCTTGAAGGACGGCAGACCGAAGCGATTGCTCTCCTGCTTGACATAGACCGCTCGCACCCCGAGTTCGTCGGCAATGGCGGGCAGCGGCACCAGCGGGCTCGGGGCATACCCCGGGAAGTCCTCGTGGAAGCGCTGGACCCGAGGCACCGCCCCAGACGAGGTAGTGGTCGGGCTGGGGTTGATGAAGATCGGTCGACGGGAACCGGGCATGCTGAAAAAGATACTCGCTGGATGAATTTTGCAGGAGATATGCCGACTTATATGCACGCCTCGGAATGCATTTCCATCGGTTCGAAAAGCCTGCTGATGCGCCCTCCCCGGACATGCTCGTGTTCCACATTCCGCTCATGTCGCGGGAAGGCGCGGAGACAAAACTCAACACTACGGTCGGACCATGTCTCTATAAAGCCCAGTTTGGTACAACGCAGATGCCCGTAAACTCATCACATCGACCATGTTTGGCCGAACGCTTACCCGTGAGCTCTCCCCGACGGCCTTGCGCCGGTCGCTGTCTACCGCCTCCGGGTCCGGACTGAAAATCAACTCGGACCGTCTGCTGGAAACACTCCACCGCACCTGTGAATGGGGGGCTGCCCATCGCTATGGCGAGTAAGTCATCTCGGCTTGACTTACACCGCACACACCTGACCGAACCATCAGGGGCCCGACCGAGACGGGCATGGCGCGGCTCTGCCTGACCGACGACGATGCCAAAGTGCGACGATGGCTGCAAGGTGAAGTCGAGAAACTTGACTGCACCGTGACCATCGATCAGATGGGCAACATGTTTGCCCGACAGCGAGGATCTCTTGGATCACCCGCGCCCATGACGGCCATGGGCAGCCATCTCGACACTCAGCCCCGGGGCGGTCGCTATGACGGCATCCTCGGCGTCCTCGCGGCCCTGGAGGTCTTGCGGACCATGAAGGAGCACGGATTTCGCACCAACTACGACATCGGGCTAGTGAACTGGACCAAGTAGGTCTTCCGTGGCTTGGATTGAAATAACTACTAACTATCTGCATAGCGAGGAAGGGGCTCGATTCCCGAAGTCCATGTGCTCGTCAGGAGTCTGGGCGGGGGCCATTCCCGTGGAGAGCGCTTGGGGGCTGACCGACATCTTCAACCCGGCTGTCACCCTGCGCTCTGAGCTGGAGCGCCACGGCTTTTTCGGACAGGTCGCCTGTTCCAACGATCCTGCCACAGGATACCCGCTGGGCGCGCACTTCGAACTGCACATCGAACAGGGGCCCATCCTGGAAGAGGCCGGCAAGTCCGTGGGTGTCGTGCGCGGTGCTCAGGGATATCGCTGGCTCACCATCACCGTGGCTGGTCGCGATGCCCACACCGGCACGACACCGCTGGCTGCGCGCCGGGATCCTGTGCTGGCCGCATCCAAGATGATCGTGGCTTCCAACGCGGTAGCAAAGAAGTATGGTGCCCTGGCTTCTACGGGCGTCCTGAAGCTGCCACTCAGCTCATCGACCAACACGGTCGCGTCGGACGTGACCTTCACTTTGGACATTCGCCACCCCCAAGATCGCATCGTCCATGCCGTCCAGGAGGAATGCCTGCAGGCGTTTGCAGATATCGCTCGTGAGGACGGCAAGGGCGTGTCGTTTGACTGGACGCTAGACACAGACTCCGCTGCGGTAGAGTTTGACGAGACCTGCATCAAGGCTGTCCAGGACGCGGCCACGCACCTGGTGGGTGCAAACAAATGGATGGAAGTCACCAGCGGCGCGGGCCATGACAGCGTCTATACCAGCCGGCACTGTCCGACTGCCATGATCTTTGTCCCGTGTAAGGAGGGAGTGAGCCATCATCCCGAGGAATACTGCAGTCCGGCCGATTGGTAAGTTGCTTCCCAGTGAATACCATACTGTACTGACCTGCATAGTGCTCTTGGCACGCAGACCCTGCTGGAGGCAGTGGTCAACTATGACCGGACGAGAGGAGAGCGAAGCGCGCTCTAGGCCATCATTGCCCACCCAATACTACGGGTATAATACTTCAATTGCCACCATCACCAATACATAATCAATCATAATCCCTTCGTATCAATGCCATTTGCTCCCACACTGGACGCCAGGTTTGTCATCATTGATCTGGATCCCGGACTCATCGTAACTTCGTAATCTGGCCATGGTTCTGTAAGCTGGCTAGATCATCGACTATGTTTCAGAAGACCTAACCCCCTCTCCCGCACTACACTGAGAACTGCTCGTAGCCACGCAACCTCGCGAGCATAACGTGGCTGATCGCGCAGGGTGTCCAGCACAATCCCCAACGCTGGCGAAACCGAGAGGGGCCCGGCCAGCATCTGTTCGTCCCGCAGAATATACTCGGTGGATTGGCAGACATGATGGGCCATGGAGAGATAGTCTTGGCGATGACCGAGAGCCGGCAGCGGTGGGTAAGCCGATCCCGCGGTAGAAGCCATAGAGCTGTTGAGACTAGCCAGACCGGCGTACAGGTGACAGAGACCTGACCACAGCATCACCCGCACTGCCCACAGGAGGATGAGAATGGTGGCGCATTCCAGGCTCGCGAAGCAGAATACCATTGGGAATGGATTCTCCACGTTGGAGTCAATCGGGGCATACTTCATGTGGGATGGCACGGGCCAGTACAGCGGGTCTGGCGTAGCATCTTGCATCCCATACCAGATCATGTCCAGTTCCTCGTCGATCTGCCAGCACTCGCGGATCAACTCGTGATATAGACCAGCTTGTCGTTCGGGGCTCAAAGAATGCAAGAGGCGCACACCCTGCAGGATCTTGGGGCTTTTTGCGAGGCAATCTACGACCCTAGTCATGAAGGTCTTTGGGATCAGTTCCCAGGGCTGCTCCATCCACTCCGGGTCGAACAGGAAACTTGGAGCTTGGTGTTCCAACGCATACAGGATCTATAACGGTGTCAGCAGTGGAATGAATATTGACATATCAGGGCAGAGCTCACCGCTGGCATTCGGACTCCAAGGAATAATCGATGACCCGCACCTGAACAGTGGGCCTGGATACCGCGAGCCTGAACCAATGCAATGAGGCCCTGACAGTGGCCGAAATAGCCCTCCGATCCGGTACTTGGGCATTCCATCGCTTCATACAGACCGAGGGCCATACAGGCTGCCAGAGTGCCATCGTCGTGAACGAGGTTGCGATTCCATAGTGCACTCTGCAGCTGTCGGAGGCCCTGGGTGTAGAGATTGAGGCTTTCCTTGATCAACGCTGGATCTCGAAACTGGTGACCAATCGCTGAGGCCGCGACGGCCGCCCCCGCAATTTGCAGAGCCTTTACTTCCGTTGGCAGCTCGGCCAGCAAGGGCATCCATGAGCGTGGGAGGAAAGATGACCCTGGCGCGGAAAGACAATTGGAGAGAAAGGTCAGAACCAGATTATGGCATTCATTCTGGGTCTGCATCATCGCGTAAGCCGGTCCCCGCTCCGTAAAGGGATACCCAGATGACAACGCCAGGTCCTCGTCGACCGCATCGTAGAGCTCCTCGGGAGAATCCCGTTCGGACGAGGGAGGGGTTCGCAGAAAGATGTGTTTCTTCGTCGGTGGAGCAGCGGGCTGGACTAGCACAAAGACCCTCTCCCTTTGATAGCCACGACATACTCGGTTTGATCGCGTGCACTGGCCACACTCCGGTCGTGACCGATCACACTATCTTCCTTAGCATCTGCCTGAAGCACGAGGAGGCGCACCCACCGCAATTTTCCGAGTTCGGCAAGTATTGCAGCCCTTGGATTTTCCTGCTACTCCTACCATACTAGCGGTCTAGAAGGCCAATTGAGAACGATCAAACTAAGTGAGCTCCCACTGAAGGTGGATAGCCATGGAGATGAGTCAATGAATTGAGGCTGAGGCTGAGGCTGGATACTGCAGCCCAACCTTTAAACCGAATCTGGTCCCATCCTGCGATGGCCAATGGGACGCAGTGACTGTGGGGCCGACAGCACGATACGCTAGTCCCAAAAGGGGGTTCATCTTGCGAGCTTATTTTGGATCGACGGCGAGGATACAATGGCTAGGTATATAAGAGGGAACTAGGCGTGCCGGTACTTGGTCAAACTCGAAGTTGAATTTATGAGTTACAGCTCTCTCGCCTGCTTGAACTTGAGTGATTGAGATAAGCGCCAGACTCCGTACTCGTGATATATATTGTCTACCGCGAACAATCTCAATCCTCCACAGTCACCCACATCAACATGTTCAACGACCATTCAAAAACAAGCATCGCACTGATCGTGTTTTACATCCCCGCCTTTATCCTGGCAGCCTATCATGCATGCTACCGACACAAGCGGCCTCGCCTGTCATGGATCATCTTGTTGCTTTTCTCTGCCAGTGAGTACTCAACAAAGCAGGCCAATCTCAGTATATAGCTGACTTGATGATAGTTCGACTGGCTGCCGGCATTGTCGTGATCCTCTACGAGCACAAACCCCGCACCGGGCTGATGGTCGGTTCAATCATCCTGCTCAACGCGGGCGTGTCTCCCTTGCTAGCAGCCACCCTGGGATTCCTTCGGATCATGTAAGTTAACCAATCGATGTCAGATGGCCTCGCTAACACGCTACAGCCTGGCGCACGAGCCAAAGGTGAACCCGCAAATCGGTCGATGGCTACTGATCTCTCGCCTTCTATTCTTCGTGGGACTCGGTCTTCAGATCGCCGGCGGCTGTCTGGAGGGCAGCAACAGCATCAGCGACGTCGACACCGGCATCAAACTCGTCAAGGCGGGCTATAGCTGCATGGCGGTTTTTGAAGCTTGCTTGCTCGTCGTGCAGGCCTATCTCTGGATTCACCGTCAGGAGATTTCCCAGTTGAGCCAAACGGTAAGCACTGCACCACATCTATCCTCAATAAAGCTAACCGTAGTGACAGATTCTTCAATCCCTGGCTCTAGCCCTCCCGTTTATTATCGTGCGCATTACCTACCTCTTCCTGTCCGTGTTCCAGGCATCCGACCTTCGCTGGAATGATTTGGTCGGGCCTATTGCGCCGTTTTTGCTCATGGGGCTGCTGATGGAATACGCTGTGGTCTGCATATATCTCGCCACCGGGTTTATTATTCCGAGTTGGAGAAACATGAAGGGAGAGAGGGTGGTCTCTGCTTCGGGGTATCCGTTGGTAGAGGATTGTTGAGAATGGGAGTGATCAGGAAGATACATGCACTTGCTTGCTGTCTTAGATCGCACATTCTGCTCCTTATTAGTCTCGTCTTATATATACCCTTTCTACCCGACACCGCAAGACATTTCCACCATTTAATCCCCAGAATAGTTATGAAACCAATCAAACCCTCAATTTCCGTCCAAATTCTCCAAAATCCAATCCACCTCCTCCGCAGCAGCCTCCAAAGCATGCTCCGGTGCATACTTCGGCCTCCACCCAATCTGCAACCCATGCTTCGCCTCCATCACACAACTATAATCGTCAGCACCCCCAACCCCAAGAGACTAATGGGATAAACTCACCTCCCCCCCATCTCCACCGGCACAAAATCCTTCGGCCTCCCCAACGCCTCGCCAATCCTCTCCAACGCCTCCTCATCCGCATCCACCACGGTAGCATCATCCACCAATCCCCTCTCCGCCAGCCTCTTCCCCATGGCCTCATACAAATCCTCCCACGCGACACTCCCCGACGCAGCAAGATAATACCCATTCCGGCCATACCCGAGATCCGGCTCATCCAGGAGCATGTTCCGGAGGAGTTCGAGGTATAAACTCACCGTGTCGTGGATGTGTGAGACGGGCCAGACCTACACCTTATTAGTATAGCCCTAGCTATGTTAGGGAAAAGAGAAGGGGGAGGGGGAGGGATGTACTGCACGAGTTTTATCAACCCTAACCACCTTCCGAATCTTCAAAGCAGCTTTCACTACCGCGACGGTCTGAATAGAGATTTTGTTCCCGAATCCTTCACCCTTGCCGTAGACGATACACGGGATGAAGATGTAGCTCCGTACGCCGTGTTTTGTGGCCGTGTCGATGATGGTGGTGTTTACTTTGAGGGCCTGCATCACCCATTAGCAACCCATTCAAACCCAAAGAAATAGGAAGAAGGGGGGGGGGGGGAAGAAGAGAAATACCTCATCAACAAACACATTCCCCGACCTCGCCGCATTCTGTATCTCATACACTCTTTCCCCCTCTCCATCTGAGAATTCTTCACTAGGTAGTGCAGGATGTCCCGCATGTCCACTAAACAACTTCGCCCCCGTGGTATGCAAGAAATGCACTTCCTGGCCGGTCAATCTCTTTACTTCCCCGAGTGCCTCAATCATGGGGATCTGGGTGGTGGAGCTGGCGGCGTCAATGAGGAAGTAAATGATGGTGATTTTGTGGGCGATGATGGTTTGAGTGAGGGTTGCGGTGTCGGTGAGGTCGGGGAGGAGGAGGGGGGTGGCGGTGGATTGTTGGACGGAGTGGGCTTGGGATGGGGTCCGGACGAGGGCGTAGAGGGTGCTGTAGGGGGGGAGCGGGGTGGTGAGGAGGTGGGTGAGGAGGGTGCCGCCGAGGTAGCCGGAGGCGCCGGTGAGGAGGATGTTGTGGGGCATTTTGGGGGTAAATAGGGGGGATGGTGGTGGTTGTGGTTGTGGGTGGCTTGGGGTGGTGATGGGATGGAGGGGGGAGGGGGGTATTTAACGATTGGGAGGTGAGGATGATTTCTAAGGTGGTTGTTGGTATGAGTAATCGTTCTGGACCGATAAGGTAATCGGGAGGCTGTATTTATCACCAAAACGGGCACTATCACGATGATGCGGGATGAGTCAGGATGATCATGAATGAGTGGTTGTCAGCAATTGGATTTGAATTAGTATTCTACCACGGATGTGAATTAACAATTGCAATAAAAATGAGCCTATGGACTATGTTCCACTCTTGATCATATCGAGTCATCCACGGATGCAAATTGCACACTCGTCGCACTCTTAAATGTTCGCTGATGCCGGCCCACAGCCATGCCGCACCATGCATCCCCACGCAGGGACAAGGAGACATTTGTTTTCAGCACAGTATTGCTTCGACATGAGCAACCTTGAACATCACACAGGGCCTTGCAGACAGGACATAGCTTTGAGCCATGGCAGGGTTTGAGGCAGGTGTGCACACAAGTCAACTATCCGATCGCATAGCTGGTCGCATGCTTCGTGGCTGGTTTGGACATTGTTTTCTCCATCTGAAACATTGCACTTCCAACATGGCAGCTTGCAAACATGACCGCAGGGTAGTTCTGCTCCACAAATAGCCTGACAGTTGAACTCAGGGCTGCCGACGTTGACATGGCAGGCCACCTGCACAGTGTGATTGCATCCATGAACTGTCTTCTCCACGCGCACCGGACACATCACCAGGGAAAGATCCTGTGCCTGCCAGCATGGGAGTTCTTCAACAGCATGTCCGCATGCAAGTCTGCGATTGGCATCAACGACTGCCATCTGGCAGAGTTTAGGACACTGGTCCCCGCACAACTTCGGACAGGCATGGTCGCATTGCAGTTGGTCCGCGCAGTCCTGGTCGCAACCACCTTCCGGAGAATACTGCATAAAGTGGTCCGGCTCTGACACGGCGATGGGCGACTCTGGGTGCCGAGGACATTGCAGATCGAGAAGAGTTCCAAAGTTGCCGTTGCTTTTCAAGACATCCACGATCTGCCGCCACATCGGTACATCGCAAGAGGTAGCTGAATTGCCAATGATGTACATGCCGTGTTTAGCGCGCGAAAGCAGCACATTGATGCGGTTAGACGTTCGCAAAAATCCACACCGTCGCTGCGCATTGCTTCTCACGAGGGAACATATAACTACCTTGGCTTCCTCACCCTGGAAGTTATCAATGGTGGCCGCGCGGATAGTCTGCATTGTCACACCAGGGATAGGCGCTCCTCTGGCATTATCGTTCAATCCCGCAGCATCCAAATCTTTTTGGTCTCTTTCGCCGAGAACAGTAGAGAAGGACTCGACCAGCCTGTGACGGAGCTGATGGAGCTGCCCAAGGTACGGAGTGAGTACCGCGATATCGCCCGCTTCGTACGAGCCTTGTCGCAGGAGGTGAGTCACCAGCGCTGTAGTCATTTCCACTTCGAAAGGGTTCGAATACGAGGTGCCCAGCTCGTCGGTGGCTTCAGGATGCTGATGATCGAGCCAAAACAGCCGGCGGCGCATTCCGCATACCTCGGGGTGTGCCATCACCGACGGAGCATCTTCCAAGCGAGGATACAACGTATCTCGAACCAATTGGGCAATGGATGGGTGCATACGGCGCTGGGTTTCCAACGTGCTGAATGGGATCTGCACGCCCGAACCGTCATCAGGATTCACCAGTCGCTCAAACAACGATCGGTCCAAGGAATACTGCTTCCCGCCTCGATGGTTCTCTCTGGACAGTCCATAGACTTGAATCTGTGGGCGAAGCGGGAAGTGGTCACCGATGAGTATGACATGCTCGACTGAAGGCAGCAGAGCCGGTAGAAGGTGTGCCTCTAGTACTTCCCCAGCCTCTTCACACAGCATCACTTTAGACGGAAGGCGTCGAAGCATTTTGAAGTTTCGGGCGAGACCGGTTGTTGTTACACCTATGACTTGGACCTTGCGAAGGGACCGTAACTGAACCTCGCTTCGGATATTGTTAGATTTTTGTTTCGCCTCGTGATATTTATCTGACGAGGTCCTTTGCCTTGTCATGCCGCTGACGCCTGTTCTCCTCGATCCAGTGCTGGTACATTATCTGTCGCTCCTGAGCACTCATGTCGTCCAGGTCTATATCCTGGAGACACTCAAGGGGCCGCGGTTCCTCTTTGGATCAGGGGCCTGCTTTGATCCACTGCTGGAAGACGTCGCCTCGCTTGCGTTGCGCCTTTTGGAAGGCTTCCTCATCATACTTGTCAAGGAGCTGGCAATGGTGCTTGGGATCGTGCGTTTGAAGAAATTGCTTCAAGTCGCTCTCTGAACCTTCGGAATGCAACTTCAGATTGACAAAAGACTCTCTGTAATCTTCGACTTGTTGATTCAATGCCTGGAGCTCGCCCCTCTCCGACTTCGTCTTGGTCTTTCGGACCAATTTGCGCAGGGTGTAGCGACTCACTACCTCCGATTGAGAGCGGGATCCAATTCGCACAATCTGAGCAATCTTCTTCTCCAGAAGCTCCTCTAGAAGCTGATCCAGGGCGTGATTCGTGTAACAGACGCAGATGATCGGTCCGATATTGCCCTTGTCTTTCCCACCGTTGGCCAACAACACCTTAATGAGAGCGACACCCGTGTAGCTCTTCCCGGTGCCTGGAGGACCCTGTATCAAACCGATTCTCCGCTGCTGGGTGTTGACCAATGCCACCGCTTGGGTCTTGTCCAAAGCGGAATGATCTTGAAGCTTCTGAATGTCAAACGTCTGGCCCCGTCGGATTTTCAGGGGTGTCTTGTCCGTCATCAAGCAGCTTAAATCAAAGCTAAACCCTGGCTTAAGGGCATACTCTGGTGGAGGTACATCCATAGAATGATCGCAAGTCTCCAACGATACCGGTGCCAAAAACTCTGCAAAAGGCAGATCTCCGCTTCGCTTCATCTCCTGCAACGCCTGCAAAGTCGGGCCAAATGCAGGAAACAGAATGCCCGGAAATTCCAGGAGGGTAAGTTGCACGGTGCCGCGCGGGCGATAGCGGCCGAGAATAAACTGCACGTCGTCTCCGCTGGGATCGATGAGCTCCAAGGCCACGGTCGCGATATCCTTGTCTTTCCATAGGGAGGACCAGTCTTTTGGCCTTGGATTGCGTGGTGTCAATTTGGGTGGTTCAGCTGCAGTGCAAAAGAGAACCTCCCCACGCGCATCGACAAGACATAGAAAGGCCCCTCCCTGGAGACGATTGGACAGTTCCCACCATTCCTCGCGCTGCTTGATACTCATGCGCTGTACATGATATAACTGACGGAACTGAATGACAAACTTGAGACCGATGCGTTGACTGAAAAACAAGGCTGCGATGCTCACGTTGGGATCGGCATACGCTCGAGGCTGGGTTTTTGCTTTCCGCCGGTTTGTAGACGGTTGAAGCACGGCGCGGATGGTATCCCTCAACTGGCCGACGGTATCCTGTCTCAGCAATCGGAAATTTCGGTCAAGAAGACCAGGGACACCGTCGAGGTGCCATTGCTCAGGGTCTTTGACGGGTAGATACTCTGGATGCGGGGATAAAATCTCTTCTGGTGTGGGCAAGATTCGGATGTCGCAGATATCTGCTGAATCATTATTGTGACGTCCACCTGGGAAGGTTTGGTTCATGTTGAACAGAGGGAGGAGCTTGTCATTCTTCTGGACGGCCTGTCCGGGGATGCGTGAGTCACCCTCGCTATCTGTCCGCTCAGGCTCCTTGCTCAATGAGTCACCAGCTGTGTTACTATTGTCACGCTGGTCCTTCTTGTCCGTGTCCGAGCTGTTAGAAATACTATGTGAAAACTTGCACTTCCGGAACCGGCATTTGCCGTCCCGAGCAAATTCACGACATATGCTGTAGCCGGTCAGGTCAGCCTTGATGAACCTCATGATGTAGACTACCACATACCCCTGGCGTACCATGGTAGCCTCTGATGAATATTAACAGCCTGGAGGTACCGTGGGACAGACACGGCCTCAATAGTCAGACAAATGTGGGCAAAGACTGAACTATGCAGTTACAGACGTGGATGAGCAGCAGCACTAAGAGTCACCTTATAGTGCCATAAGAGGGCAAGTTGCCAAAAGATCAAACGGGGTGGGAGTAGAGAAGAAGAAATCGCGGTAGAGTTCCAAGTCGGCTTTGTTATGGGGGGCACCGACGCTGCTGGGACTGAGCCAGCGTGGGTGCGTTGCTGTGACAGCAGTGAAAACTGAGAAAACTCCACATCTCATCAGTGAATTCAACAGGACTCTTCTGTCTTTATCGCATATCTGCACTTCGTTCTCATGGGGTTGCTATCGGGCTGGCTGGCAGTGTATAAGCTGGGGTTAACTATTACCCAACGCAATGAGGCTTGGCTAGTAGGCTCTTTATCCTGCTATTTCTTCTGCCTTAGGGATGTTTTGGATTGTATTGATATTGGTGGAGGCTGCACGATGCAGTGGAAAGCAGTATTTGCGTCTTCCCCCGCTTCATCATGACTCCTCGCACAGCCTGTTATCCGCGGGAAGTAAGTAGCGCTTCTCCCATGACTTCTCCACTAGCCATTGGGATCTGGGTTCATCGAGTACAATTGCCTCAAATATGTATGGATTCTCTGTGATGCATGACACGGCCATGGGTGGGAGTGAGCGGGTCAGGGCTGAGCTCGTTACTTGCCTGATTGGGTAAGTCTTCCGCTCTTCGCTTGCCTCTTTCGGTGTCACATCGTGGACCCTGAATGCAAGCTGCAGATGCAGACGATAGGGAGGGCATAAAAGACACCCCAACCTGCCTTTCCTTGAGCCCTCTTTCCGTCATTTTGAATCAGAAGCATCGACCACATTTAGCACTTCTACCAGAATGACAATCTCGCTGATCCTCGCAGCACTTTTCGCCTACCTCTGTGTGAGGCCCATACTCTCCTACCTCTACGATGCCAAAGGTCTTCGCAGATACCCCAACGTAAACTTCCTAGCCGGATTCACCAGCCTCGCCTATGTCTGGGAGCGCAGGCGCAGCTTCCGAACCCGACACCTCTATCTCCACCACCAACGCCACCCCATCCTCCGTCTCGGACCCAACACCCTTTCCTTCGCCGATCCGGGCGCGATCAAAGATATCTATGGCCACGGCACCCCTTGTCGGAAAGACGACATTTATACGTTGACAGTAGGCAGCCATGCCCACATTCTCAACGTGCTGGATCGAGATGATCACGCACGCAAGCGCCGCATGTTGTCGCACGCCTTTGCGACTCGCAATCTCGAGCACTGGGAGTTCAAGATCAGCGACAAGATCAACAAACTCATCGCCCAGCTAGACCGGCGATGCACATTGCCCTTGTCTGTTGGCAAGCAGGTCAGAGCTTCCGATCTAACCGTCAATTTTCGCTTGTGGTCAAATCTGTTCACCATTGATGCTCTTGCCGATATTGCTTTGAGCGAACAGCTCGGGATGCTAGATTCGGGTACGGATACAATCCAGGTTGATGGTCGCGATGGCAATCTCAGCTATATTGACAGCTTGCGTGGTGGGAATAATGTATTATCGCACTTTGTCGGTGCGACGGAGTGGTTCTCGCTTTTCAAGACCGTCTCGGGGTTCTTTTCTCCGCGTTCGCGCAAACAATGGGAACATGGTAGGAATTTTGGTAGGATTGCTAGTGCCTTGGCAGACAAAAGGCTACAAAGGCACGACCGTGGCGACCGGCTGAGTGATCTTTTTGCGTGTTTGATTGAGGACAAGGCGGGGGAAGCCCGCTGCCTTGATCGTGGAGAGATTGAAGCCGAGACGAACCTTCTTCGTATGATCACCCCACGATAAGCATGGCTTTGAAGTCAGCCGATGCTAATGATCTTCACGCAGTTGATGCCGGCTCCGATACGACAGCAATAGCTTTGACTCACGCCCTATACCACCTTCTCAAGAACCCGCATTGCTTGGCCAAGCTCAGGGCAGAGGTGAACGAAGCGCTGTCCGGAGACACCATCGCCTCATATGCCAAGGTGAAACACCTGCCATATTTGAAAGCATGTCTAGAGGAATCACTGCGCCTCTTACCCCCCGTGTCAAGAGGCCTCGAACGAAGAACTCCCCCGGAGGGTATGCAGATCCTGGGGCAAATGATTCCCGGTGATGTTGCAGTGTCCGTTCCAACATATATTGTCCATCGGGATCCATCCCTCTTCCCAGACCCCAACGTATACCGTCCCGAAAGATGGCTGGAGAACGGTGAACAGGCAAAGCAAATGCGGGAGGCGTTCATACCCTTTAGTTCGGGCGCCCGCGGATGCATTGGAAGAAATATTACAATGATGGAGCAGCAGATTTTCATCGCCACGTTGGTGCATCGATATAATTTCGCATTACCGTCACCGGATTGGACGCTCGACTGGCAGGAAGCATTTCTTCTGTGGCCTAGTCAAATGCCACTGAAGATCTGGAGCATCGATGATTGAGAGCCCAGGGAGAGGTTGGAACATATAGATTTGATTTTCTAGGAGGGTCGATGCTCATCTCTCGCTGCTTTTTGCTCATTGAGTAGATCTGAGTACGCCCTGAGCAGCCTGTAATAATCACTAAGTATCGGATGAATAAAAGACTAAGTGCTTTAAATAAATAACTTTAATAAACTATACCCTAACTAATAATTATTTCTTTATTTGTTTTTCTACTTGTAATCTATTTTTACCCGCCACACTCTCTTAAAGCCTAGTATTACTATTAAGTCTTTTTTCTCAGTAAGAAAATATTATAGTTACCATTCTATATTAATATGATAAATATTTTAGTGGATTTTTTCTAGCGATAAACCACACAAAGCCTAAAAGTTTTCGTATTCGTCGCGGTCGGGTGGTTCATGGGTTCGTGTCTCAGTCCGTTCCAACATTTTTCCCCGCTTTGTACAGCTAAAGTCGAAAAATTTCGATCTAATGTTTGTACCGCGAAGGGCAGTTCGTCCTCCAGTTCATACAGTTCTTCCGGATACTCCACTACTGGTGACCCGTTCTCCTACCACATGTCCTACATTGGCGCTGGCGTTCCGTGCTCGTCTACCAGCGTAAAGTTATTTCTGGCATGTAACGAAAAGTCTCTATTCCACAATGTCCTTGCTTTCATGTTTTTGTTGATTGAACAGCAGCGCACGGACCCCGCGACATAGTAAACTCCCAGACAAATCGTCAATATGGTGAATTTCCAAGGCTGCCCACAGTACGGAGATGCAATAGAAGACTAATGCAGGTTTACTGAAGCTCCGATGTTTAGCTAGTCATATTATTCTAATATTCACCATGCTCCCGAGCTATAAAATCTATTGAACTACATTCTCCGAGCCCTCTGACCTGAGAAGTTGAAGAAGGCTGGAAGACCCCTTCGGGTACTCCAATAATTCCGTAATCCCGACCGACATTATCCAAGTGTCTTTGAGCATGTTGATTTTACCTTCAACCAAATTGTTCACTAAAGGTAAAATAGCCGAAGAGACATCTCGTATTAGAGATCCTTGGTAGGTAGCGAGCAGTGATATAAACCTAACGAAAACCTTATCTGGGATCTTGGGGCTTCTGAAGGTTTTAATGTGGTCAGAGGGACAAAACCGAAAAGAAAGCGACGGTATGCGGGATCGTCTGAACTCACAAGAGGACTGATGAGGTACGACTCGAGCAATTCTGCAAGCTGTGACAGTACATCAAGCCAAGAATCCCAAGACCAAATGTCTCTATGAGTAACTGTAGTCGTTTCCCCCTCCTGCGTAAGCATGTCACCTTTTCATAAAATACCCGGTAGTATGCTGAGGTAGGCTCTGTTTCGGGGCAAATGATATCAATCATTTTCTTGGTCGTATCTGATTCCTTCAAGTTTACCGGATTCCCGGGTCGCTTCCTGTATTCTGGGTCTCCATATGCTATGCAAAACCTGCTGTCCTCTCCTTGTTCCGTGCAATGCACATGCAGCTTCCAGATATGATAGTTTTTCAAAATGTCAAAATGACATGCGAGTTCGTCCAGAGTTCGAATTATGTTGAATCGTTGTTCGATGGAAGCTCGAATGTGGTATATCTCATCTGGTGGCTTCACTGCCGCTAGAGCACCATGCAGATTTGCTTGCAAGCCAGCCACTGACTGGGGGCCTGCAAAGGTAAGAAACAGCATACCTAGATCGTGGCTGAAAGTCGGATTCCTGGCCTGGAGCTCCGATAGCTCATTTTGCAATCTCGCATTGAAATAGGTCTCCTGGGGAGAAGGTATCTGGTGCAATGCGCATCGTTCCATCTCCAACTTCAAAAAGGTAGTAAATAAAGTGTTATCTTTTTGTTTTGTTGTTTGTTGTCGGACCATAGCGTGTATAGGAACCTGGCCTGCTAGATCGTTCGAGGCCTGCGACTCGGCTGGGACCCCCATTGACCCGCACTGACTGTTCACCGTATTGGAACTAGAATTCTCTTCAAGGGAAAAGCGAAACCACCCCATGCTATGTAGGGCACTGACTGTAAGATCTTCACTTTCCGAGTCAACATATATCGCTCCTATCAGTGCGTTGACAGCTATCCCCAAGACTTTGGCCGATCGACTTCCTGGCAAAGGACAATACGTCACGAGTTGATCAATACCGATAGACTTGGCAAGGAGTGCACATCGATTGTTGTCAATATTCTTTATTTTCATCATTGTATTCATGCCTCAATCTATCAGTCACCAACACTAGGGCTCAGAAGGAAAACTTACTTCGCTCCGTGCGAGAAAGATAGCCGAACTTTACGGAGCATAGTTCAACAAAGGCTTTACCTACTTGCGCAAGAGGACGGTTTCCATCATGATTTCTTTCATCGGCTCCCGCCGCTTTGAGAGCTTCGAGTAAACAATTTTCATTTCGAAAACGATACCCGGTGATTGATTCAATCTGTTCCAAGTGCGACATGCTGAGGAGGGTCATGATAATTGACTGTAAAAAGCTGTGTTCCAATAAGTATGGTAAGGGGCGAGGGAGCTCTACATATTGACCCATATATGTACGAAGGATTACCCCATGAGTTTGTGCCGATCGTTGCTGTGCTTGGAGCTTACAGAGCCAGGAGGACGTTTAAGTTCCTCTTTGGGAGAAACCGGCCGCGCAAGGGTTGCATGCCAGACCAGCAGACTTCTGCCACATGCACCTTACCATACATTAAATACGGTGAAAACCATATTACAAAATGAGAATGGGCTGTTCTAATAGACTTGATGATCCCAAATCTGGCAAGGCTACACGACACGATGCACTTTCTCCTTATTGAGTCTTGAAAAGAGGTCATTAATATTCATCCCCTTGCAACGCTCAAGCGCCATACTCGGTCATACACCTCCAAAATACTAGCCCATGTTACACAACCACTAAATGTACGTGCGCAATTATACCACTGCAAGTTTTGTAAGTTTCATCTGCTTTAAACCAGTATGCCTCTTGGCTTATTGCAGTCATTCAATGGCTTACTCGCTCCTCGTGACATTTCCTGCATCGGTAACGAAGAATCTGTCAACTGTCCTTGACAGCTTGCGTACTTATAAATAAGTGAATATACTACTCCAAACATACACTTGATTTTCAAGACATTACCCCTCGTTTCCCTGCCACACTTTCTCCATAATGACCGGTCCTTTGGGCAAAGTCCCAATATTCTAGCAATTCATGTAGTATTAGTTACCAGCAAAAGCATGTAGTTTCTGACGATGTTACATGCTTGGTGGGGCTTGCAGTATACATCCCTTCCCAGAACTTGCAATGCTGGCTCTGGATTTATATCCAAGTCAAGTTCGCTTATGATGAAGGTTTCAGTAGGTAATCAACTACGGACAACGTCAGTAATTAGGCGAGCCTCCTATGATTCATGGCGCATTCTTGGGTCTTTCCTGTTGAGTAACGTGTTTCGGCATTAGTGTGTAGTGTTCAATGTATGTACGTAGACGAATGTGGGAAGCCGAGCCGACTAAATACTATTGCCAGGTGCTGCATTCCGGTGCTCACGTGCGACATTAACAGGCTATACCAGGCTAACTTTGACTCCAGTAGCCATCGGTATCAATTACGCAAGAGATTGAAAGGCCTTGTTGATGAGCCAAGGAGCCTACGTAGGAAACCTGACTCTAGCTCTACGTAGCTCTCGGGCAGCACAAGAGGAAGCAGGCCCTCAGGCCACGATAGATCTGACAAGGGTTTCATGAAGGAGTAAGATATGCATATTGCTGAACTAGCGGTGAAGCTTTATGTGTCCGTTCGAGGCTTCGCAGCTAATACTTATAAGTCGGTGCCCTACATCTGTGGTGACTAGCACGGGCAGACTCAGCCAACACGTGTCATCGTCGATATGACTTCTAATCCGAAGACGAAAGAGAGAAATTTCCAGTCATCGTTGAAGTCCCTGGAAACAGCCATGAAAGATGTCATGTCATTCAGCAAGATATTTATGACAATGGAGGACCTACAGTCTCAGAACAAAGAGCTAAAAGGGAAGTTGGAGGACGCCCACAGAATAATCGAAGAACACCAGTCAAAGATCTGCACAGAACAGAGAAGAAATGAAGACTTTGCTGATAAGATCAGTCAGATTGCACAAAAGTGGGCTGAGGAGAAGAAAGACCTCCAGACGCTGGTAGAAGATGTCAAGAAACAAAGCAGCATAACTGCACAGAAAAGGGAAAACGAACTGAACAAGAGGGTCGAAGCAGCTGAGCGAGCTCTACATCAGAGTCAAAGAAAGCTCGACAAACAAGGTTTGACCGTATCACGACTTGAAAGCACCCTTAAGGAAACCGAGCTCCAGTTGAAAGAGCTAGAGATGGATACTATGGTGCATGAAATCGAAAAAGAAAGGTAGAATTCACAGCTATATTAGGGTGTATTTATTTACATCGTGCAGTATCTTGAACAAATTTCGGACTGTTGAGGATCGACTTAAAGATCTGACCGAAGAATTCTTCGAAAGCACCCTCATATCATCAGACTCAGTAAGTTTCTTGTCCAAACTGTTATGGCGTTGTTCTTGACAACAGGGAAGATTGAAGTACAAGAGCCAAGGCCGACCCAGTTTACAAATGCTCAGTTTGGCTTTCCTCTGATAAGCTATCTTCCCAATGGGAACCTGGAGTATCCACGTCCGGCTTTCGCCCAATCAGTCATTGCAGAAAGGCTGGTACGAGATATTTTCATATCAACATACTTGAACGCACCGTCAGGACGTACGAGTATGGGGGAATTCTTGCAACGTTCCAGCGGCCTTCGGCCACGTCAGAAAGCTATACTAAGATCTCTCTTGACCAATGCTTTCCAAACTGAGGAAGAAAGATTGCAGACCGAAGCTCTAGAGACTGCATTTTCTATAACAAACAAGACTCTAGAATCGTTATGTCGTCCGGAAAGATTAAACGACTTCAGACAAAGTCTCTATGGCTTTTTGCGGCTTGCTGCAGATGTGTGGTGCTCCGTGCGAAAATCTTCCTTCTTATTCCATGCAACAATAGCCCCAGCAGGTTACCCAGGAAGGTGGCGTTACTCTGAAACACACAATACCACAGACAACAAAGTGTGGAAAACATCATCCTGCAAGTTTCTAGTGCTTTTCCCGCACATATTCGACGAGCAAGAAAGCCAGATATTCTATGATGGATTACTCTGGGTTGAAACTTCAGACTCCAACTCGTCAGCACTTCGTCTCCAGGGCCACCCACCCTTGAGGCCCGAAAAGCATGGTGCTGCCCTGAAAGCGGCAAAGGGGCAAGAAGATATGTCACTCAGCAATGCGAAGACTCCGATGGATGATTCATCAAGTATAATCGGAATTGGGCAGCAGGCTTCCAGGTCTTCAAGGAGCAGATCATGCAGTGGAACACCAGGCCGAAGCAATAAGAATTTGCGACGAAATCGACATAATAACTCGGAACCAGGGGCGATAGACGGAACTCAAACCTCCTTCAGCGATCCTACTATCTCATCGTGATTAGCTATCAATCTTAGCAGGGGTCAGAATTTGCATGACGCGGCATTTGTCTTATTGATTTGTGACTTGAGATTGTGTTCGAAATGTTTTTGATTTATGCGGACAGGGTTTATTTGACTATGAACAGAGGGAGAAATATCCTTCAAACATCTGCTAATGGTTCTCTCTACAATCCGGATATGTAGCGTACTTGAAGGCAAACTATCGGAAAATGCACACTCTGTCACCTCCGGGTTATGATTCCTGTTTTTGGAGTTCAAAGATTGAACCTAATGACAAAAAGAAAACATATAAAGGCCCTACTATAATGAGCCATATGCCTTTCGGCCACAGGATCCTATAGCCAAAACCGTGCATTCTAGGCACCGTTAGTACAATCGAGTTCTCGCAAACGGAGTCTTCTGATGAGCATGGGCTAAGGATAGAAGAAATTGTAAGACGGCTGTGTCAGTAGCATGTTCTGTAGATAAGCCAACGCTTAAGGCCAAAGGTGACATATGCCACAGCAGTGGAGAAAGCTTGCATATGTATCAATCGATGCTAGGACCTCCTGACACGCTCCACGAACAATAATATACACTACAAGGGCTCTGTTTCTTCTGTCCATGTAGACATTTTAGTAATAAGTGGAAGGCGTTGGAATACCCAATGATCCCGAAAGGACATCTTCAGATTCATACCCATGAAAACCGTGCTAGTCCATCTTGGCATTGAGCAGGTATCGTCTGTTGGATTAAATTGCTTCAAAAAACGAAACTCAAGATATTATTGATCCAAATATTCTATATATCATTCTAATTGCTGTCCCATGCATAGATGATACAATGATAAGTCGAACCTATTCTAGGGATAGTTTGGTATCCACTGATCAAATGAGTCGCTGACAGTCGTCTGGGTGATCTATGATTACTTTCACTTTTTCTGTGTCAGGTGTAGAGTAAATGAGACCATGACCCTGATTAAGTGTGTAGGACAGTATTATGGCATTCCCGGCGTCGGATGTCATGTTACCGCACTTTCTGTATTTGGCTACGTTTACCTACTAGAACGCTGCAGCATTCTTCGTATAGTTCCATGCTATTAATCAAATTATTCCAAGTTCAACAGAACTTCCTGTGTAGCATGCTACACAAGAACATCCTCTAACTTTTTCTTACGGGTTTTCAAAAGCTCATCTACCTTCTGCTTTGCCATCCATTGCATTCCATCATATCTGAACTCAGTGGTTTAGCGTGGGTGGCTGAACGCTAGAGCCTCGGAACTTGTTTTTATAATTTCTGAGACTATATCAGTTCCAAATATGGAACTCGAGGATTATGTCTGCATGCTGCGTCACAACCAGTAAATGCTGCTTTTTGTACTATGCCTTATTTTTACGGTATTTCCATACACCCCGTACTGCAATAGTATAAGTCTCTATTAATAACAGATTCTGTTGATACCAGATAAAAATAGCATCTATATAAAGTTTTTGTACTGTCACCGAAGACTGCTGCTTCATCATTTTTGAAGTCAATACTACAATAGGTTAGAATACCTCATAAATTATGCCATAAGAAGTATACTTATGTTCCTCAGGGATTGATAATAACATTTAAATATAATTTGAGAAGGATATATACCAGATTTTTTAATGATTATTATTTTTAGTTTTTTATCTGGTCCCGTAACTGCCGGGACCAATAACCTTATAATATTATTAATTTTTATTATAAGAAAAAAGATTCCATTTCCTTTCAAGATAGTTTATAGTCTATATAACAATATTAAAGTATGAGCAGCTTAGGATGCACGTAACTAATAACTAATCCTAGTCTAATTAAGCCCTGCGCGCTTACTGAGCATTGACCAATGATAAGAAATACTTAGTAAGTGATCTCTTGAGCGCCCTCATCAAAGCGGCCTCATCTAAATAGGGAAGGTCTCATTGATTCTAGAAAATCAAGTCTGTATAGATACATATATCTGAGGGATAATAGTTTCTCGATCAGACCTTGGGTCAAATCTAAACACATTGGCTCAATCTGCGTCGAACCCCAATCTCCATGAGAGAAATGTGACACAATTGCCTTGGTTATCTTAACATAGTGTCACTTGCTCCTGTAGCTGTTTAATTCGGTCACCCGTATGAAACCCTAGTTGATTTTCAATTCGATCCAAAAGTGCCCATATCTTGGCCTTTTTGGCAACCGAGTCGATATGCTTTGCCGCTACTCCATTAAGCTTGAATCATAAGGAATATCCAAGGATGACTCACCATAATAGAGGGGTTGTACTGCCTGCACTAATGCCGCGTCGGGAATTGGTGATAAGGCTATAGCGGCGATTGACTGCGCGTGATCAAGAACTTTGGACTACTTATTGTATACAAATTAGATCTGCTCAGGAAGGGTTTCACAAGAGATTGCCCGATTGCCTTGGGTATGGCCTACCTGTGATTCATCCTCTGTGGATAAGAGCGAGTTGCAGCCTTCCATGAACATTAAGAGGTGAGCCAAATGATACATACACATCGCTGCCGCTGGAGGATTGTTATTTAAAGTGACGTAACGGTCGGATAGCCTTGATGGCTTTCTCACCTGTCGATGGGACGGCAAACCAGAGCCTGGAAAACCCTTCCGGGGTAGGGTACTCATAGGGGATGCCGTGGAATGAGTCGGGTAAGCTCTCCAACCAGGCATCCAGTTCTCGTCTGAGGTAGGCTCTGTTATCGGAAAGCGATCTGACAGACAGCACAACCTCTTTTCGAAATGTGTGTGCTATCGTCCTAGCTAATAGCCAGACCATTTTGTTTCCAAGCTTGTCTTCTTTTCTTTCCTGTTCGGCCCATGAGACCCCCCATTCCTCGGGCGGAAGCATCGTGGGACATTCGTGTACCAACGCCATGGCGACATCCTGCCGGGCGTAGACCCAGAATGCAGCCCCCATTATGCCGTTTGAACTGGCTCTGCATGCGTGGGTTCGGATGAGGGTCAAAGCGCCAGACACATGACGCTGGTGATCCAGTCCTGGGAGAGCGAGAAGTTCGTAACTGCTCAACAGAATTGTCGCAGCAAGGTTGTCTTCGGGACACGACGCTGGAAGTTCCAGGGCGGTAATCAACTGTTGGAGGCTTTCTCCATAGTATCGGGCTGCGGTGGCCCTCCATACCTCTTCTCGATCGGCGATGCCGACCTGTCTCGCGATCAAGGCACAGATTGCATTCATCAATAATGGGGAATCTACGGCTCGTTTAACGACCGCCCGTCGAAAGTGCGATTCGTCGTCGAACAGATCCATCCATTCCGCAATGCCATTTTGGTAGGCCTGAATCAATGAGACCTTTTCGGCGTCTAAAGCTGGTAGCAACTGGGAGGCTGATTCTGGCTGATTGGGGGACACAACGGCTATACTGTTGAATACGTCGCATGTTGATGCAGGGCCTCCATTCTCTACGACTGCGGTTTTGAGAGTCGACGAGCACCAGCTGGAAGGGACTATAAAGTCAGATGGCTCACATTCCAGGTTCAGTCGCTGACACCGACCGCAGCGAGGCTGTTGCTCATCACACTTGTGGTGGCTTGCTCTGCAGCGAAGACTTGTGTTCTGTCAGATTGCTAATCCACCAATCTATTGTCGTAAAACTGCTCACCATCCTGCCCCACGGTTAGTTAACAGGCTCCCACCAGCGATACATCAGCATATAGTGGGTTACCTCGTCTACTCCTCTTCCCGGCCTTGCCCTGGGCGGTTCGAACCATGTCAAGGTGTTATTCAAGGGTATTCCCTGCCCGGAGTTGAAAGGATATGTTACCCGTATTCCGAGCTGAGGGGCAAACGGGAAAGCGAGGAATGGCAAGCACAAGATGCGTGACACCGTCCAGAGCCTCAATCACCTGACTCGGCGGACCGTCGACCGACCTGTGGGATTACACGAGATCCGTACAGCTTCTGAAGACTTGATCCATAACACTAAAACAATGTTACCGCACGCCTTCCTCAAGTGACGAGTGCCGATCAGCCAAATGTATCCAACGTTCTGCTGTTATTGAGGTCGGATCGACCAGACTCGAGTGCCCCTGTAAGCCGGGCGTCCCCGCTTTTCGAGACCGGGTACTCCGTAAACTATGTTCGTATCCAAATGCATTCCCCCCGCCCTCCGCCGAGGAAAGGTGGGGGTACGATAATATACGGATATGCTGGCGATGCATTGCATATCAAGAGAAGGGCGCTTGTTCAACCCATTCACCAACCGTCTCAAGTCTCTCATTAAATATAACCCAAATCCCGAAATGCCCTTTCCAGAATCTCCTGAATCGCTGTGTCCTTCCGTTGAGTATACTCCACCATAGACTTCCCCCCTCTCACCGTCCATTCCGCCGCTTCCCATTTAGCTTTTGCGTACAACTCCCGATCCGCTGGTGTTTTCGCTAACCAGTCCCGCAAGATGCGGTGTCTAGCAACTTCCGGCGAGTCGGGACCCCACACATGCAGATTGACATGGTAGCCTGTGCTGGACCAATCCTCCACAAAGAAGCGATGCTGGTACCATTGCGGCTCCCGCAGGAGGAAGCGAAACCCTGCGTTTTCCAACGCCTTCACATAAGATGCTTCATCCGTAGGGTCGTAAAAGGTCAGATCAACATCGATAATGTCTTTGGCGGGGAGGTTGGGAACACTGGTTGAACCGGAGTGAGCGATGTCTAGAACCAAGGTAGGCTCGAGGGCTTTTTGAATCCGTTCTTTGATTTCGGAGAATCGATGCGGCCAGGAGGGGTTTGGTGGGAGGATGGTGATGGGGGGTTCGATTGTTCGGAAGGCGATACGTTCCACGAGGGCGGGGTCGTCTGGGGAAGGCGACAGAATCTCTGCGATGGTGGCGGGCATGGTGGGATGATGGTTGTTGATTGACTCTGAGATGACGGTGGGGAGAGGAAAGGAGATTAGGGATTCCCAACAGATACGGAGTATGCCGTGCTAAGAGGTCACCGTTATGGTACCGTTTTAATACAGGACATTGCGCGCTAACACAAGACCGAAGACATCCCTCTTGCACAGTATCTCCCAGATTCCTCTCATCGCTCAGGCCTTCAGCCTTGAAACTTGTCTGGACGTACGCCTTTTCCTACTTCTCCTGCCATAGCTAGCTCGTGAGACTCTTCACTATCGGGCACAGGTTGGGCTCAGGTATGTACCAAGAGGTCGATTAAGATTATCCTGATTAAGTCTAGCTACTAAAAGACATCCAATCATCTATATACAGCTCCTTCTCCTCGACAACCTTCCTCTGTGCGCCATCGAAACACAACCTCTCAGCACAGAGACTGCGTACTCGACGAGCTATATCCAAAATACCCTCGACGGCTTTCCCGTCTAGCGCCCGGCCACCGCGGAGTTGGAGGCAATAGAGGATCCTGAATCTGCTCGATCGTCACTCGCTCCTTGAAGAACCCACTGGAGCCGGCAGAGGCCAACGATCCCCGAGCGACATAGCTCTGGCTCTGGTATTTGCCAAGCCAGAGCATCTGCTCGTGTTCCCGGAGGTACCGGTGGCTGGAAAAGCTCTTGAGCACGTTGTCTCGACCCTGCATACCGAACTGGCGACGTTGTTCGACCTTCTCGTACATGCGCTGTGAGATCCGCTTGACTTCCTCGGGTGACGGCCGCAATCCCAGGGATGGTGGCACGTAACCTTCTTCGTCACCCGCAAACTTGCTCCATTCCCCGAGAAGCGCCATAACTTGGATTTGAGCTGAAGCGAGCGAAAAGGCATCGTTGGGTGGGACGACTTCACTGAATTTCTTGCCGGTGTCGCGGTTCATAACAACACAGAATGAGGCACCAACATCGGTACACACCACCGGAACACCGGTAAGCGCGGCCTCTCCCATCGCCAAGGGAAGTCCCTCGGATGTGGACGAGTTCATGAAAAGCCACTAGATAGTGTTAGTGAGAGGTAAATGAGGGGCAGGTTCAGAGTTGGGTCTTACCCCGTCTTGAAGCACAACCGAGGGGTTGCCCAATCCTTTAAGGACGACGTGGTCTCGAAGAGACTTGGAAGCGATAATCTCCTGGCACTCCGATGCATATCCAGGGGCTCGCTCCATATCGCCGTAGATGTGGAGGCGGTAGTCTTTGAATCCCCACTGATTAACGATGAGATCGGTGGCCATGATTGCTGTCTTGATATCTTTGACGTATCTGAAAACTAGTCAGCAACAGCTTTAGACCAAAGAAAAAGCCCCAAGGGACTGGAGGATTGGACCCTACCGGATATGAGACAACATGACAACGGTGGGCGTCTCCGTCTTGATCTTCTCAATGGGCTTGTATTTCTCCATGCTGGTGATACCGTTGACCACCGGATCGATCTTGCGATGGAAGGCCCGGCGATGCTCCAGAACACCTTCACAAGTGCCCAGTTCAATCTCCCAGCCCGGGTTAAAGTACTCGGCACAGGGCAAGACAACATCCGCATGATGCTCAATGAGAATACACGAGAGATGGCCCAGAGATATTAGGGTCGAGTTCACGAACGTGGAGTCAAAAGAGACAGCGGCAGACAGGAAGGTTGTCATCTCCCGGAAGCTGACACAGTGGTCCCAAACATGAAGGGCACACTTGCGCTTGACCTTGCACATCACACCATATGTGGCACCGGTGAAATGATGCGACACTTGAAAGACATCAGGGATTCGTTCCGGAACGGGAATTGAGAAGATGAAGAGATCTAAACGTCGGTTAGTTAGCGCGTCGATGCATTCAAGGGGGGGGGGGGGGGAAGCTAACAGCGATGCCACATATCCAGCGCTGTATCCAATTGCTGCAGCGTAGGGTGCTCGCAGTTCCACCACTCCGAAACCGGGATGGTGTCTTCCATGTCCTCCGTGAGCCAGAGTTCCCGCCAGGCCCTCTTCACCGTGTCACTCATCCAGACGTCGTTCCAGTTCCGGGTCGATTCGAAGTAAGTGTTCAGATCACACAATGCCTTGGTGGCTTCCTCAATATGGGCCCGGGTCTTGTGCATGGTTCGTGCGCAACGAACGATACTAGTCAGGATGGGTATGAAGTTGCGCTCAATATCCGCGACCCTGGTGTCGTGGGATTTCTGCACAACTTCAGAGTCCAGTGTATTCTGAAACATGCCATGGGTGGGATTCATGAAGTCCAGACCCCACTGCGGCAACACGGTGAGCGACTGGACGTTTCTTTCTATCTGGAACCGGGGAACCCCAAAGTCATTGGCTGCTTCAGCCAGGATATGCCAACGGATGGCCTTGAGGTCGTTCACCATGTCTCGTCGGCAAGCAGATACACCACCGGGCTCATTGGGCCAAGTTCCAGTGTCCATGGCGAGGACATGCAGCTCTGTGTCGCTGTCTTGTAGCTGGGTTGAAAGGGTTCGGGTGTTAATGCGGGAATCGCCTCCCTGCCCGAAACTGGAGAGATCACTAATCTTGAAGGCCAATGGCGTCCAGGAGCTGACTTCGGGGTCAATGTCCACCCGAGCGAGGACAGTATCCGCTTGGGCATCAAGATAATCCGCGGCTGCCTCAAGCCGACCCATATCCCGGTTTCTCCAATATGGCTTGAGCACACGGTCGGACCGTAACATGATCTCGTCAAGCCACCGGGCCGTGATCGCATCAAATTCCTTGCTTCCTTTCCATGACTTCCAGAGATGGGCACGGGCACGAGAGGTGGGAATCGGGTACCGTTTCACATTCAAGCCCAGAAGACGCGACACAAAATTCGCCTTGATGGACGAGAAGGAAAACAGCGGGTTATCATCCAAGAAGCTGCATCTGCTGGGCTTCTGCAACACCTTGAACCAATCCTCGTGAATCATCGCAGGGGTGGCCACTGATTCGCCGTTCAAAGTTGTGGCAATGACAGGGTGGAACTTGTGGTCATAAGTCCATTTGGCCTTGTGGGTGTCATCGCCTTGAATGAATGTTGCATCGGTAACCCGCGGATAAGGGATCCATTTGTCTTGTCTCTCCGGTCGGTTGGGAGGAGGCATGCACCAGGCCACATGGATCTTGATATGCGGCAGAACATAGTCGGCGCGCAGGAGCTCATCTTCAAACTTGGCACCCTTCCGGTACCAGAACTTGAATTCGACCGGGTTCACCCCTCGCATGGCGGAGCCGGAACTCATGTAACCGCGCTTGTCATATTGGACGATCTGTCCGCTCAACTCGCCCTGCGTGCACTCTCGCTGAGTGGGCAACTTACGCCCCTTCCGGTTGTCCTGCGGGTACTCATACGTGAACTCGTTGAGCAGAGCATCGCCACGGTACTCTTGGCGACGCGAAAGGACTAGCTTGTCGGTGTACGTGTTGATAGCCACCAGTTGCTTGTAATCGCTCGGTTCGTGATCGTGGCGTCCCGAGTATTGATACAGCTGGAGAGTGCCGTCTGACTCTGGTCGGAAGAACCCGGTCGAGATGCCGCTTAAGCTCTCTACAACGATACGGTCTTGATGGACCACCGTCTTCCAGTCCTTCCTGTTGCGATAAAGGTTGGAGAGCTTTTCCCGTCCGTGCAACTAGGGAAAGGTCAGTATATATTACGACAGGAGACAGATTGATCATACCAGAACAAACGGGATGATGAGGCGTTGCAGGTGTTTACAGAACATCCAGACTCCATTCAACACGAAATTAATAGGCCCAGCAAAGATCAACGGCTGCCCTCGAAGCATGGAATCCAACTCGCGTTGATATTCCGGGTCTGCCACCAGAGAGATGACAGTAAACTTGATACACGCGTGCCAAATTTGCACAAGGCGAGCAAAGGATAGTCGAAGCGCTTCGGTAAAGCCAATTGCTGGAGTGTGCTCGGTGAGGGCAAGAAGATTCCGAATCGGCTTATCGTACTTGGAGTTCATAAACTCCGGTTCATCTTGGATTTGGTGATGCGTTTCCGACGCTGCAGCGAAACATGTCACAGCGACTGTCAGCTTGACACCCAGATTCCAGCGAGCAATGAACTCCTCAATAGAAAGGGTCTCGCCGGTGCACGCTCTAGAGCGAAGCCAGGCAATCTGTTCTGATGACACACGGCATGGCTGACCGCAAGTCCGTCGCAGAAGCAAAGATCTTGCCGCTTGAGGAAGATGATCCCATTCCTGATCACAATCCATACCGAGCAGAAGGTGGCGCAAAATCGTTTGTTGCCCGTGGTTCATGACTCTACCTCGATCTGTCGAGCTACTTTCCAACTGGCGCTTGATGCCCTCGGGTAAGGAGATATCCTCACCCTGTCGGTCGTTTGCGACCAGAAGCTCTGCCACCATGGAATGGTCGTGGGAAAGCCCCAGTTTGAACTCTGCAGTGGCTTGGACGACTGCTTCTGCAATGGTCTGGCAGTTTCGGCGGATGTCGGATACCCAGTCGTAGCCAACAAGATCAGGGCCAATAACGACGAAAATGTGAACATGATCTCCGGCGCACCGACTGATAGCGCGAATTTTCTGTTCCGGTTGGATCAGGTGAGCTGCTGAGACAAGCTCCACGGTTACGTTTCCCGCTTGCCAGAGCTCTGCGACGCGTCCCACCAACTCAGCAGCGCCCGGGAATGCGGCCTGCATCAGCTTTGATTTCCAGAGCTGGCGGTCGGAGCGAAGAATCTGCATGACTTCAACCCCCGGATGCTGGGCAGGATCCAGTTTGTATCGGAATTCGTCCGACAGCATGAGGATGTTGTCGAACATCTGAGACATGGTATTCTGTGAGAGATCTGGGTATGGCTCAAGAGTGCTGACACCGTGAGACAACGATTTTCCTTGGACATCAAGCTGAGTGGGTTCCTCCGTCGGGCCCTTGGAGCTTGGCAGGCCGATGTCAGACCTCAAGAGGGAATAGATCGCGGCACTCCAGGTGCCCGAAGCCAGGCCGATGACACTGCTATATTCAAACGCCGGAAGCACCTCATGCAGAATAATGCCCACGACCAATCCAGCAATGGCGGAGATAGCGAGACCACCGGCCACATGAGGCCCGGTGAAGATGCGGTTGTACTGATACCAGAGAAGACCGCTGTAGCAGCCAACGTAACACAAGTACATGATCGTGGAGGTCATCGAACCCTCAAAGGTCCACATGATGGCCATGGTGACGGCGGCACCCCAGATGTGCAGAAAGAAGAATTTCATAAGAGATCTCCAATACAATCTCCGGCGCGCCTTGGCGTCGTTGAGGGTAACCTCGCGAAGGCTAGCTAGCGAGGAGACGGGCTGAGGAGTGGCCTTATGGACGAGTGTCCATAGTGGTTGCGAGACGGCGTCAAGGATCACTGCGCCTAATAGATAGTACCCTAGCGCGAAACCCACAGTGAGGCGATACTTTGCGCTGTTAGCTGCGGACAAACCGACAATGGACTCGCCCGTGAGCAACGCCGACCACTTATCGGACAGGGCGACTATGAAGTACAAGATACCACACCAGACGTCGGCACCGGTGTGACGCCAGTGCAAGAAGGCGTTGTGCATTTTCAGACCCTTTTGCATCTCGGACATGGTATCAACCGCCGCTTTGAGTTGCAGGTTCCAGGTGGGGCTGTATGGCAAAGGCATCTTAGTCCTCGAATAACGGCAGTACCATCCTAGGAGAAACGTCGTGGCGGAGTAGCCCTCGGCCATCTTGGCGATGAAGGGGTCTGTCGTCTTCTTGTTCCACACCCACTTCTTGTTTTCCCTGTGGACGCTGGCCAAGAGGGCCTGGCGGGCATCTGCTCCGACGTCCTTCACCTTCTCGGTTGAGGACCCGATATAGCTCGATCCTTGAGCTTGCATGTACCAATTGACAACCTCCGTATCCGTCACACAAGGGATATTCAGATACCATCTGTTCCACCGGGAGATGACTCTCCGTGCACCCAGGAGCAGGTTTGCCAGAAACAGTCCCAAAATGCAGAGGTAAATCACCGAGTCACGATGCACCCACAAGGTAACAATTGGCGAGATGAAAAGAATCGGGATGCATGCCATGATGGTGGATCGCCCCTGAGATTATGGTCAGTAGCTGCGCACGTAACTGGATCTCTGCCTCCGCTTGAAGCGACTTTGCATAGAAATCCACTCACCGATTGAAACTGATATCCTGGAAGCTGATAGACCGAAAGAGCTGAAAGGGTCATAAGATAAGTCGACAGCATCACAAAGTACAGGAAGAACAAGATGCCTGCCGCAAAACCCTTGAGCACACCAACCACGATCAGTGCGATGATGCCCCCGACGAAAGCCACCGCCAGGCCAGCGATGAAGCGGGTGAGGACGAACATGCTCATTGCGGGAAACGCCATGGCATACAAGTAGTAGCTACCACCAGAGCTGATCCAGCTACCAAACCCACCGCAGACGAGAAGGGCTATCATCAATGCAGTAGTGGCGAGAGTTTTATCCAGATCACTCATGTAGGTGGTCAGATAGAGGCCTCGTCCGACGGTCGTCAGCATGGTAACATCGATCAGCGCCGGAACAGCGAAGATACCCAGGAACGTCAGACGATAGTGCCAAGGAATGGTATCTTTTGCATTGGGATCCAAATCCACATTCATGGAGGCGTACGCGGTCGGGAGTTCCGTGAAAACCTCCTCTCGTTGAGGAGGCTGGTATTTGTGATAATAGGCACGGTACCAGCGCCAGATGATCTGTCCCAGACGCTTTGGTGTGGTATCAAAATACATATCTGTGCGCGCACCACAGGCATACATCTCAGCAAAACAGGCCGCTTGGACTGGTTCGAGGTTGGGCAGAGGGTTGCGGTCCAGGACTTCCAGGTAGATTTCATTCAGTGCAAGACGACGGAAAGCGCAGAACACGCTCAGAGCTAGAATATCGGCGCTGGCATCGATTTCACCCTTCTGGAGGATGGTCTGGAAGACAGTTGTTAGTTGATCCAGAAATTCTGCTTGTCCATCCATGAGAAGCCCTGGCAATTGGGCATCAACCTCGCAGAATAGAGCCTCAGCAGCGGCTGGATCGGGACACCAGCATCCCTGCTCCCTAAACCACTCCAGACGTGAAGCAACCACCTCCGCGGGCGAGACTTGCTCATCAAGATACGCACTTGAGTTCAGGTCTCGGAGTTGGGCTAGAGACGGGGCATCCAAGACCTGGTACTCTCCGCAGGCGCGTAGCTTGGCAGACAATTTCACGGGGTCGTCATGGCTTGACAAGGCCAGACGCCGGAGCCATGCAAGTGTCTCAGCCGGAGTAAGTTGTTCGACATCGTCGACCATACGCTGAGGCAAGTCCCAGATCTGCGACAGCATCTGATTCTCGGCGGCCAGAGCCATCTCTGTCAAGAAGCACTGAGAACGGCTAAATCCTCGGTTGGCCAGATATGTGTGGAGAATGGTGCCAGTGCGGTCCTGCGTCTTCCCGGATAGATAGATATTCAGCACGCCCATGCTTGGATCAAGATCATGTAACCCCCAAATCTGGGCTCCCAAGCGGGTGCGGAAACCCGAGTGCAGACCAACATAAATTCGAAGTCTATCATTCTCGTCACCTCTGCAGACAGTGAGAAGGTCAACCAAATCTCTGATAGACTGGAGTTCCGAGGAAATGTAAGGATACGAGCTTTGGGCCTTCAGCAAGACACGCAATGGCTCGGTAATTAGACGCAGCTCGTCTGCCTGGATGCGCTGAAGCAGATCGAGGTCCCTAACTTGCCGCTGGCTTTCCAGAAGGTCGGCAACGTCTTTCGATGTGCAGTCTAAACCGATCTGAAAACATCCCAGCCCTGTATAGCTGGTCCCGTCAGGGGAGACAGAAAGGATATCTGTTTGTGGGCTTTCGGTCCTTCCGGACCATTCTAGCCCATGGATTGCAGAGCCGCGACTATCGGCCCCTGGATATTTCACCGGGGGCGATAAGGTGAGCTTTGCCCTCAGGCCCGGGAGGAAAGACTCCAGAGAGTCATACACTCCCTCATTTCGGCACGGCGTCTGAGAGATCTTTCAAAATTTCAGCTTCTGCAGAGCCTTTTACCAAGGGCTTTCGCTCAAAACTAACCTTATTATTAAATCTCCAAACATCATGCGCTTCCAGAACCTCGCCGCGCTTCAACCACATCATGGCTCCAAGGGGCTCCTGAGTCACCGTCTTCGCAACGGCGATATCGGCGTTCGTGAGTGCCGACTGGGGTGCGATCCAGCATAGGGCGCTGTTATAGTTGCACCACTTGAAGCTGCGTCCAAGGACGTGATGGGAGAGCTCGACGTCATTGTCAATTGTGTCCCACATGGCGATAGCCGAGTCACCGACGGCCTTTTGTGACGCCACGACTCGCATGGCAGTGCGCATCTCCGCCATCTGAAAATAATTGCGTCTGTCGCCGTCTGTTAGGATGGTACCGTTGCGGTAGACCACACCACGGATCTGTGTCATATCAATGGCCCGGCCTTGCTGCTCGCTCAGGTACTCCGGTGGCGATAATTCCAGCCACACGACCAGGCCGAGGTGGTTCATGTATTTGACCAACTCATTCAACACCACGGGTTGGAATTGCGCAAGACAGTCAGCCAGAAGTACGCCATGAAAAGGCGAAGCGCCTTGACTGCGGCCGAGGGAAGTGGTCAGGGTCTGGACCACCACGCGCAGAGATTCGAGGACATCATTATTATCGCGACTAGCATCGGAGCGCACCAGACTTCGAACATCAATCCGGGCTAGAATATGCGACGAGGTAGAGTGGCCCGCTAACACGTCCCGAACCCCGTCTTGAAGGGGATCCACGACGAGAATATCCCATTGCGCGAGAAGCGTGGCCTCGGCAGGCGTCGGAGGATTGGAAAATCCGCCGAGAAAAACACCAAAAGATTTAAGCTCCTTCGCGGACGATTTCTCCGACGCAAGGGGTGCATTCTTTGTTTTGAGTTGATCAAAATAACGGGCAACGGCCGTTGGAACTTCGGAAAGTTGGTGGCGCGCCTGAATGCTCCAATCGTCAGCGCATTCTCAACGGCACGAAACGGTGTCCAGGTGTATGACATACCTGCCAAATCTTGTAGATCTTCCGGCCGATAACGGCCAAGATATAAACCACACCAAGAACAATGGTCGCTAATAAACATGCTGCTATTACCTAAACATGGCGACTGTTAGGAGGAAGTTGCCGCAGAAAGGAAGGGGGCAAAAAGAGAGCAGGGCTACCTTATCCCACCACGTCGATATCATCCGATGCCATCCCACAGCATCCAGGCCCAGATACTCCAGTCCCATGGTGGCAGGCAAATCAGCGTTGGACCTTAACGCTGCCCCAGACTGCAACGGGGTATCCAGATAATTATCAATGGCGATGCTGGTCACTGCGCACTAAGACCAGATCCCTTTCAGCCGCGAGGGGAGGCGCGCCCTCGTTAATTAATATAACTATTTATAGCAGATGCATGTATCCATGGTGCACGTCGCCGCACAGGAAATGAACTGAAGGGTCCGGCGCCAGCAAGCAACCAGAGTAGGAATTTTCCTTTTCTTTTTTTCTCTACTGTCCGGTTTACTTTTGTTGGGGACCACCGTCACCACTAGTCTAGTGGCCACGAAAGAGGCGCTAACGTGGGTGGTTATGCATGTCTGACTCGAATACGGGGCCCTTATCATCTCTACTGGCCTGGTCAGCGTCGCCCGGGCCTAAAAAGACGGTCATAGTGACTGCCTCGTCGCCTGGCATCAGGTCTCCATCAGTCAATTCTTTGTCGTTATCGCGCCACTGGCCATCTCACCCATCTAGTCGCTGTGGCTAGCTCTGACATCCTGCAGGTGAGTCGGACGAGCCCGCCATTTCGCGTTCCATCGAATCCATTGCATTCCCCAGGTTTATATCACTTCTCGCGCGCTGTCAGGTCGGGCCCCAGCTCGCCTACTGACTACTATACTCCGTGATCTCCCTGATCTGACCGTTGCCAGCCAGTCCCGGCCGGCTGCCGCATGGATGCCTCGCCCTAATCTCAAGCGACCCCGGCGCCCCTGGTGCATTGCCATTGCTATTGCCATAGCCCTTGTGGTGATCATTGTGATAGTCGTGCCATGCGCCGTAATCTTGACGCGCAAAAATCACGGCAAGAAGACCAACGTCTTGTTCCCCTTGTATATCTGGCCCACCAACGACACGACCTGGGATCCTCTATATGATTCGTATGACCCCTCCCCAAACTCCAATGATTGAAGAGTCCAGTCATTGACATCCCCAGCGTCACCGCCCACCCGGACCTAAACTTCACCATCATCATCAACCCATCCAGCGGACCTGGGTCCACCGCCTACCCCTCAGACGAATATGCCTCCCAAGTCGAACGACTGGGAACGTACTCCAACGTGCGAAAAGTCGGATACGTCCGCACCGGGTACGCAACCCGCAACATCACTGCGGTACTGGACGAAGTCGCCACCTACGCCGGGTGGTCCAACGAATCCCTCACGCTGGCCATGGACGGGATCTTCTTCGACGAAGCACCGTACGACTACTCCGCCACGAAAGTCGAATACATGAACACCATCAACGCAGCCGTGAAGAACTCCTCCGGCCTGAGCGGGGATCGGATGGTAAGCGAGACTCGCCCTAGATAGATAGATCGAGGGCGGGAAAAAAATACCCCTTCACAAAACTTGCACGGCACTAATCAGGATATGACATGCTAGGTGATCCACAACCCCGGCACGATCCCGGATACCCGCTACGACAGCACCACCACCGACCTCACCGTCGTCTTCGAGAGTACCTACCAGGATTACTTCTCCGTCCGCCATGGCCTGAACGCCCTGAGTGCCGATCGCACCGGCTACGCATACATGCTACACGCGGTGCCTGACAATCTGAGCAACAGCACGTTGCGGAAATTGGTCGATCAGATGAGCCGAAAGGCCGAGTATCTGTTCCTGACCACGTTGAGCGAGGATTACTATGAGAGTTTTGATCCCGAGGGGGCGACGATTGCCGATTTGATGCCGACGTGAGATGGCTGGGGCTTTCTACTGGTTACTAGTCTAGTTGATAGGTACAAACACTGATGGTACATCGTAAGAAGTACCTTAGCGCTGGATATCGACTAGTAGAGTATATCTGGCGCTAAGACGCGTGTGAGCTGATGGTCGGTCGTGATTGGTGACAGATACACCCACGCCGGGAGGCAAAAGCTTGGATGGTTGAGTCTGGCCCTGTTGGCTAGCGCCGTTAGCGTGGTGGTTAGCGTGGGTACTTTTCTTGCAAGTTGCCAAATAATAGTCAGTAAATAATACTCCGGAGTAAATTATACCCTAATTTTGGTCCAGCCATGCGTGCCATGGTCCGTGGTCCATGGTCGGGCCCGTCCCGGCTCGTCTCGTCTTGCCTGGTCGGGTCGTGTCCTGCTGTCTTGGCCTGTCATGGCCACGTCGCTCTCGTCTAACGGAGGACTCCGTACTGACTAGCGACTTCATATAGATGAATACTACATCCTGGTATAAGACTCTGGTTCCAAACCAAGCCATACCCTGGCCCCCCGCCATCTTCGTCCGTCATTATTCATCCATCCCGTCCATCCCGTCTTCCCAGTTCCAAGTCCAGCCCAGTCCAGCTCCAGTTCCCAGTTCCCAGTTCGCCTAAATTTCCCAACAAAATGGCGACTACGCTTCCCAAGTCCGGCGTTCTCGTACCCTTGTATATCTATCCATTAACGCCTAATACCTGGGATCGACTCTATCACGCGTAAAGTCTCCTCCGAACGGTTCCTTGTTTGCTTCTTTCGCTGTCCGAACTTTCCGTGTGACTGATAGCGCTGGAGCGTCCGAGTAGAATCACTAGCTACCCCCAGCTGGAGTTCCTGGTGATCGTCAACCCCAACAGTGGGCCCGGTGCCTTGCCGTCCCCTGATGCCAACTATACGCGCGAGGTGGCTCGCTTGAACGCCTATCCCAATGTCTACACCGTCGGCTACATCCGCATCGACTACTGCCGCAAGCCATTGGCCGCCGCCTGCGACGAGATCGATCGCTATGCCAGTTGGGCCGTCGACCATGCCACCACGGGGCTAGGCGTCGGCGGCATCATGGTCGATGAGACGCCCAACCACCACGACGCCGCCCAGGCCCAGTACCTCTGCGCCCTTCGCGATCACATCAAGGCCTCCCCGGGCCTCCTCCGCGATCGATTGGTAAGCCTCCCCCTGTCCACTGCCCACTTCCCCTCCCAAACCCGGATCCTGCTCCGGTCCTGGCGCTCGGCATACGTCCATGACAGCTGGGCATCGCTGAAACCCGACGAATAATCACCAAACAACGTGGTTGATATTTTTGGCCGTGCAGGTCGTACACAACCCGGGCACGCCCCCGGACGCCGAGATGGCCGATGCAGGCCCGGATCTGATTTTCGTGTGCGAGGAGCCATATGCTCGGTATCGCACCAATGAGGTCCAGCATCGGCTGCGCGAGCTGCACTATCATCGTGACCGATGCGGCTACATGGTCACCGAAGTGCCGTGCCAGGAGATCCCCGCCCTGGTCCGCGATCTGCGCCATCGCGCAACCTACATCTTTGTCACGGAGATCGTCGGCGACTTTTATGAGCGCTTCGGACCAACCAGTTGGGGGGCGATGATGGAGGCGTTAGTGGAGGCCGAGGAGACGGCGAAGACGGAATGACTAAAAGAAACCACAGGCAACGGGACCAGGGAAACAGGAAAAAGCAGGGGAAAGTGGAACAGGAACCCGTGGAGACGCTGGCTTCGACGTGTCGTGAGTGTGAAGCACTAAATTAGGGCGCACGCAAGGGCCGCTCCGAATGGCCAATTTCCGCTTAGCGCTTATCGGAAGCTGGGATTGCCGGGTGCCTTGATTAAAAGCATGTCGAGCGTTCTGGAATCACCCACTTAGCTTAGGGGACTAGTGCAGCTTACAGAAGATGAATCCAACCTTGAAAAAAATATCGCCATCGCCTCTGCAGGTCCAGTTGCCTGATCCCGGTCGAGGGCCATCACCTCGATACGAAGGCGGCAACAGAATTTTCCTCTTGGTGGAGATGTGCTGGCCCTGCACACTTGAGACTAGGGCTTACCTTGGCTGAGACCTGCATCTGCCTGGTTTCCTCCCCTCGCCGATTCGGCGCGCCATCGACGAATCTCGGGGCTCATCGCTGCATCGCAACGAGGACCTGTCGACTCCGTACTCGACTGTCTAGTGTCCAGGCGCCAACGATGCCCGCGGAGACGATCCGGCCAACTCCCGCCAGCGATGAGCACCATTGGTCTAATGCATGCTAAGGCCACTAGATAAGGTCTTGCAGGCCCGGACTGCCGTCATTTCCTGAGGTCGCCGACTGCTCTCAACCATCCCCCCCCCCCCCCCCCCTGTCCGTAGACTGCCCGCGGCTGAGACCTCATTGCCAATGCCCTATTCTTGGCCGCCTCCGTGGTCCGAATGATTCGATGACAATAACGATCGCCAAATATCTCCCAAATCAAGTCAAAAGGCAAGCCGTGCAGTTGTGCCCTACAGTAGACCAGACCCTTTTTTCGCCCTCAGGGCCTGGCGAACGGATGAACCACGCTTGTCGTCGCTAGGGGCGCGCAGGCGCCGGCCCTTGTAGTCGGGCTGGAGATGACTGACTCTGCGATGATGAAATCATCGGGGTGTAGTCAACCGGGGCCGGCATAGGAAGGGGGAAGGGGAGGGGGGAGGCTGGCCGCTGGCGAGTACTTCCAGCACTGGCCTCGCTCGGGCAGGGTTCTCTCCATCGGACTATCTAGTAGTCGGTTGTTGTTGTTGTTGCTATCCACCGCGTAATCTTCACTCCGCCATCAGCACAGCCATGTCTGTCTTATGTCCCTCCGAAGGCAGCTCCCCCGTGCCTACGCCTCTGTTCTCCGCACCCGCAACGCCCGAGACCGACCGGGATGAGTATTTCGATGAGCCTTCGCTGCCGGCCGAGGACGCGCAATACGTCCTCGTCACCGGAGGTCTAGGATACATCGGAAGCCACACGTCTCTGGAGCTGCTGAAAGCCGGATACAACGTCATCATCGTGGATGACATGAGCAACAGCTTCCGCCATGTCTTCGACCGCATCCTACTGGCCGCGAAACTGCACTTTGACCGCACCGGCGGCCATTGCCCCCGGGCCGAGCTGAGCTGTATCGATTTTCGCGATGTCCCCGCCATGAGCGCCCTCCTGGCCTCCCATACAGTGGAGTCCGTGGCTGCCCCTCAGGGCCGCTCTAACATCCTGGGTGTGATCCACTTTGCAGCATACAAGGAGGTCAATGACAGCCTCCGCAACCCGCTGAAGTACTACCAAAACAACCTGGGCGGATTGGTCGATCTGATCGGTCTCCTCGATCAGCACGACATCAAGACCTTCATCTTCTCCTCCTCCGCCAACGTTTACGGTACCCTAGCTCAAAACCACGGCACCCTGCGCGAGGAGCACTGCGTCCACCGAAAGGAGACGTATCGAGACGCCGTCTCCGGTCAGGACGTATCCGTCGAGCAAGGTTGCACGGGAATTACGAACCCGTACGGCCGGACCAAGTTCTTCGGAGAGGCCATCCTGGCCGACGTCGCGGCGTCGGATCCCGCCTGGACGATCATCGGACTTCGGTACTTCAACCCCATCGGATGCGATCCGTCCGGCCTCCTGGGCGAGGATCCACGCGGGGTGCCGTCGAACTTAGTCCCGGTGGTTGTGCAGGTCCTGACGGGGCAGTTGACCGAACTGGCCGTGTATGGCACCGACTGGGCGACGCCCGATGGCACGGCCATCCGCGACTTCATCCACGTGTCGGATGTGGCGCGTGGGCACACGGCGGCATTGTCCGCGGCGTTGACGCGCCAGGTGCAGACCAACTTCCGGACGTTTAATCTAGGGACCGGGAGCGGGCATTCGGTGGCCGAGGTGGTGAGCGCTATGGAGAATGTCTGTCATCAAGCGATTCCGCGACGCATTGCGGATCGACGCCCGGGCGATGTGGAGTCATGTGTAGCGGTTGCGGATCGGGCGGCGAGTGAATTGGGCTGGACCGCAGAAAAGTCCCTGCAGGACGCGTGTCAGGATCTGTGGAACTATCTGCGATTCAACCCAACAGACCTGTGTCTGTCTTGAAGTAGGGCTGGAGGGGGGGAGTGGAGGGTGAGTGGAGGGTGAGTGGAGGGTGAGTGGAGGCGGGGTCGTCTGGAGAAAGCTGAGGGGGAGTTGACTGCACACTGCTTTTGTTTGTTAATATTTGTTGTTCGTCGTATAGAGCACCGTACATAATCTAGATAATCGCACCGCGTATCTTTTCTTCTTCGGTCGAGGTATATCACAAGGGGCGTTGGATGTGTCCCGGTGGCGCAGGGTGAAATGCATCTACCGTCAGCATCGTCTTGGCTGACTGGCTTTCTGGCTTGCCTCGTCTGATTCAGATGCTAAGTTGATTTCTTTGGTTTCATTTTCTTTGTCTGCCCCAAGGCTCAACCTTGGTGTGTCGTTGGGAGAGAGTACTTACTCGGTGTGTTCAGGCGGTCCCAGTGGGCAACTACGACCCATAAAGGGGCAACCCCATAGCTTATTCTGTATAAAAAAAGTGCTCCTTCTAGAAGAGCAATTCAGAGCCCGCTTAGGTGCTGCTTCCTACCTTGCAGTATTGTTACCTTGCAGTATTGTTTCCCCACTAGTTCATCCCGAGCCACAAGACGACTACGTATACCGGGGAACAACACACCGTTCACTACCGATTCCCCACCGCACTCACCCAACACTCATTCCCAACCTAGCCAGTTCCCATCACCATCCCGGCTTGTAGTACAAAGAACCTCATGCCAAGCCCGAGTCAAAGCGCCTCCCGAAATCCGCCGGGTGGCTGGCATCAAGGTTACAGAAATGCGCCGAATGCAGGTGGACGGACACTCGGTCCATCAGCTGCAGCTCGGGACGCCAGATACGGTTCTGCAGTGTTTAATCCAGCCGGAAAGGCGTGTCGAATCAGCCTAGGCATGCGCGGTCTTGATCGACGGGCTTATCTCTGGCCACTCGGCTGCGAGAACTATCCGATATTCGGTGCATATATTGACGTAGCTGTAGTCAGCGTGCGTCTTGTCTCGTGTCTTTGGGTAGGCTCGGTTGATGTCTGGAAAAGTTGGGCAGGGCGGAACGATGGTGAGAACAGACTGTAGTATAAACTGATGTGGATCCCGGTAGAGTTGTTCTCGTGCTTGATCGATACATCACGATAGTTCCGTCTGAGCACGAAGATCAGCCATGGACTCGGTATCTGAAGAAAAGACGGCAATCGCCCCAAAGTATACCCCCAAATGGCCTGAGACATTCGATGATGCCAGTGTAAAGCAGTGGATCCACGACTACTACAGCGCGATCGATAACAAGGCATCACCCCAGGCTGTCGTTGACCTCTTCACCGAAGATGCTGTGATCGAGCTGGGTAAACGACGGATCAATAGATCGAGTTAGTCAACCGTCTTCACGATTCAAATCAAGTCATATTTTTCGTGTTAACCCGATCATTAATCGTAGCCATGCTCCAAGCCAGTCGGTCCTCGTGGGATGATGTCGAGTCAAGGCGGCATAACCCCCAGGATGCCTATCCGCTGGGGGATAATACCTATCTGATCGAGGGCAATGCCACATATGTGTACAAGAACGGCCAGAGCAGAACTTTCGAGTGGTGTGGGAAGCTGCGCTTGGTGATGAATGATGGCAAGTGGCAGATGAACTATTACAAGACATATTTTGCCACGGAGTATTGATCCGATGTTGTCTTGGACATACGCGTTTCACCCATCTGCTGTCTTTGACGTCAATAAAATTTGATGGGAAACATATGAATCTCGTACTCATGCAAAATGGCAGAACATGCTCATTTGCACGCAGCCCTGACTACATGCTGTAGATATCCTTCTGTGGTAGCTGCAGTAACGAGACAACCGAATGCCGAGGATCCGCGCGCATCCGAGTGCATCAACCAGCGGAGTTGTGCAGATTAGTCAGGAGTGCTCGAGCCTAATCCTCCACCATAATTCAATCCTGATCAGCCACTAATCATCTGGCTCTTCTCATAACGTTGGTCAGTTTGTCGAGTTGTTCTGGTCGGGTTTGCTTTGCAACATTCACAGCAGCATCGTTCCGATGAGACGCCGGACACGTCGCAGTGTTTTCCACCTGGCCGTCTTCGTTGGCATCCTCGGCCTCATCCTCTTCCTCAATCGACCATCTTCCCCCGGTCGGTCCTTCGCCTGGACCACCGTCTCCTATGTGACCACGGCGACCCGCCTCCCCGAGCCTCGGGGCGAGTGTCCAGGCCTGACGGAGACGGACAAGCCCGTCCTGGTCGTGTCGCGGATCACGGCCGATGACTCCGGGTGGCTCGCGCCACTAGCGGAACAGTATCATCTCTGCGTGTACACTGCGGATGCGCCGCCAAACCCCCGTAGCACACATCTGCAGGTGCCTGCCAACCGGGGCCACGAGGCAATGGGATATCTGACCTTCCTGATCGACAACTACGCCCATCTCCCTGCAGCCGGGATGGTATTTGTGCATGGTTCCCGTTGGGCTTGGCACAATGATGCGTCGGACTATGACAATGCGGCGCTGCTGGCGGCATTGAACGTCTCTGCGGCCATGGCCCCCTGGGGCTACCACAATCTTCGCTGTGACTGGAGCGTCAGCACCTGCTCCCCCAAGGTACCCGCCCAGGGCAGCTTAGAGCTGTCGCTACAGTCGGTGCTTGAGCCGTGGAGCGCGCGGACGGCCTCCGACATTGCTCTACCGGGCGCGTTGGCCTCCCTATTTAGCCGCGACCAGGTCAGCCTGGATTTGGAGGGCGCCCGAGTCCTCCTCGGTCGAAACGATGCGGTGCGCGCGCAGTGTTGCGCGCAGTTCGTTGTCAGCCGCGAGAGTGTCTGGCAGCACACCCGGGAAGAGTATGTCGCATTACGGCAGTGGCTGCTTGATGGCAGCGACGACAGCGCTCATAGTCCAGCTGCACCGAACCGTCGCGCAGCGCCGCGGGATGACCGCATCGCGGGTCGGATCCTGTCGTACGTGTGGCATATTCTGTTTATTAAGCACGAGGCCCTGCGCGCCGAGGGATCGGCGGCCATTAGCCTGGAGCGACTAAACACGGCTGGCTGCCCGCGGGCGGATGAGTGCTACTGTCGATTGTATGGCCGGTGTAATCTGGATTGGTGCAGTGCGGAGAGTTGCTATGGACAGTATCAGTTGCCTCCAGACTTCAAGGTGCCGGCGTGGGTGATGGAGAGGGGACAGACCTGAGGGGACGAGTAGTGGAAGGAAGGAATGTATAGAGAGAGAGAGAGAGAGAGAGAGAAAGAGAGAGTAGGACAATGAACACCATCCCCCCCATCGTTGATTGTTTGCACCGAATGACTGGAGTTGCCGGCCTGAGGCAAGGGGCCGCTCAGTCCCCAGGCAGTAAGGAATGAATCGCTCATGCAACCAGCTACCTTAGCCACCGAAGGGAGCACTTCACCTCCCACACAAACGATGCCAGCAACTTCTGTCCCTCTCTCGTTCTTCGTTTCTCTCTCATCACCATGGCTCCCCCAGAGCACCCCTGTCTTTCCCGCCAGGTATCCTTGACTCTCAACCGCGAACCGACGATCGGTGTATATTAATGACCCACTGCGGGGTATTCATCCCCCCTCTCTCTCTCCGCAGGAAGCATCAGCTTCCAATCCTACCTCGCCAGCACGACGGAGCATACGGCAGTAGTCCATCCTGCAATATGGAGGACGGCCGGCATATTACACAATGCCCGAGTATGGAGTAATTTCCCGCTAAGTGGTTTGGTGGTTGTACCCAACCCCGTGTTCTGCACTGACTGGTACCTCGTGTCCCCCCATGGCCGTCTACAGCTTTCAATGCTAAAAGAACGATTAAAACAGAGCTCCCAGCACCTACTACACCATGACACAGAAATACTCTGTCCAGCAGCAGTCATATGGCTGGTGGCAAGAGCCCGGACATCCATCGAGCCAGCCAAACAGAGGAACCCGCTGTCCGATGGCAAGTGACATGCAAAGTACGGGGTCAACCGACGATCCCGTCGTCCAAGGTTCCCCGATGTATGCTCCTGGTATGATACCAGGTTCAGGGTCTACCGAGGCTTCCTGGCCGGCCCGCTCCCACCTGCCGTGATCTTCTGCCGGCCCAGATAAACTTTGTCACCCCTGCCCACCCCGGGGTTGCAGCGGTTTTCCGGGGTAACAACGACGCATGTGGAGTTCCGACTCAATCAAACATGAATACTCCATGTCTCGGACAGAGCAATGAGTTCCGGTGAAGTACAAATCTGTCAGGTGGATTTCAAATGCGGGGTGGAGACGACAGCTGTTCCTCTGGAACCAAATTTGAAGTCTGCTGATCATTGCTTATAAAATGGGGAGACCTGCTACTTCATCGTTGGGGTTTTGTACAACGACAGCGCCGCTTTCTCTCTCTTATCCTGTGCTGTTTGGCTTTGAACATCCATTATGAAGGTGGCAAGTCTCTTGGGGCTTGCAGCATTGCCTGGAGCAACACTCGCCAGTACAGACCCCTTCCAGACCCGTTGCAACTCCTTTCGGAGTGAAATCGACATTGCCAATGTCACGGTCAGATCCGTCGCGTATGTTGCTGCCGGACAGAATGTCTCCCAGGCGAAGGTCGCCTCGGTTTGTAAAGCGTCCGTCCAAGCAAGTGTCGACTTCTGCCGGGTGACCATGAACATCTCGACGTCGGACCGAAGCCACCTCTGGGCCGAGGCCTGGTTCCCAAGGAACTATACCGGTCGCTTTGTGAGCACTGGGAATGGTGGCCTGGCTGGATGTAAATCCCTCTCTACTGGATCGCCGATCCCTTTGACGTATGAATGACTGGCAACGGCTAATGTCAAGGCAGGTGTCCAGGAAAGGGATCTCAACTTTGCGGCCGAGTTTGGCTTCGCTACGGTGGGAACCAACGCCGGACACGACGGAGACACGGCTCGATATTTCCTGAACAACTCGGAGGTCCTTGCAGACTTCGCGTATCGTTCGGTGCATGTGGGAACCGTGGTCGCCAAGCAGCTGACCAAGTTGTTCTATGAGGAGGGATACAATTACTCGTACTATCTTGGCTGCTCGACCGGAGGTCGCCAGGGCTACCAGCAGGTTCAGCGGTTCCCCGATGACTACGACGGGGTGATCGCAGGCTCCGCGGCCATGAACTTTATTAATCTCATCTCCTGGGGTGCCTTTCTCTGGAAGGCGGTGGGGTTGGCTGATGATCCCGAGTTCATCTCCTCGGACCTCTGGTCGGTGATTCACGATGAGATCGTGCGTCAATGCGATCCGGTGGATGGGGCAATCGATGGCATCATCGAGGACCCGGATTTCTGCGCCCCGGTTCTCGAGACGTTGATCTGCAATGGGACCACCAAAGACACTTCCTGTCTCACGGGGGCTCAGGCAGCGAGGGCCACCCGCGCTCTGAGTGACTTCTACGGACCCGATGGGACGGTGTACTATCCTCGTCTGAACTACGGGGCGGAGGCCGATGCGGCCGCCATCTACTTCACCGGAGAGATGTACAGCCGCACGGAAGAATGGTACCGCTACGTGGTCTACAATGACACCACCTGGAATTCCAGCCAATGGACGCTGGACAGTGCCAAGCTGGCCTTGGAGCAGAATCCCTTCAACATCGAGGCGTTCGACCCCAACATCACCGCCTTCCGGGACCGGGGGGGCAAGCTCCTCTCCTACCACGGGACGGCGGATCCGATTATCAGCTCGACAGACAGCAAGCTCTACTACCGGCGGGTCGCGAATGCCCTGAATGCCAAACCTTCGGAGCTGGATGACTTTTATCGGTTTTTCCAGATCTCCGGCATGGGCCACTGCGGCAATGGCATCGGCGCTTCCTATATCGGGCAGGGGTCGGGGACATATACGTCCAAGGCGCCGCAGATCAATCTGCTTCGCACGATGGTCGACTGGGTGGAAAACGGCAAGGCTCCCGAGTACATGCCGGGCAACAAGCTGAGCGCGAATGGATCGATTGAGTATATGCGCCGGCACTGTCGCTATCCCCGACATAACATCCACACGGGGCCTGGCAATTACACCGACCCCAATTCCTGGACTTGTGTGTGAGCATCATTCTCAAGAGCAAGGTCACATAGTTCATAGCAAGTATGTTGTTAATATGAACGATCCCAGCTATATGCATTCGAGATGTCGGTGTGACTGTTTTGGTCTGCATAGACACGTATTCGAGCTCATTGAAGTCTCCCGGAAGAGGAACAAATGTAAACAAACAAAGATCATGTCACGCCACGTCCTCCAGCCACTGTAATTTGTCGCTAAGCCGGGCGGATCAACCCGCCCAGGGGTGTTTCCAGCCTGAGGCCGCCGTCGATTTATCTTGCTGCCTGGACGCTCAGGCCGGTGATCTGAGATCACGTGGTGCTCGCTGCAGCGGGTGGGGCAAGTCGGCCCGATTCCGCTGATTCAGCATGCCAAGACGGCCAATCGGTAAATCATTCAGGCTGAGACATGCAGATGCAGTACATCGCATCTCTTCCTCAAAGGTTGTTTCCTGTTTCCTCACTGACCATGTCCTATAAAGTCTGTCTGACATTACTCGTAAGACAAACCAGTAAGCAGTATCCCGGTTAACCAATCATCATCTAGAAATAAAAATCATCTCAACCGTTGGACGCTCTGCAATTGGGTTTGGCTAAGCCACCAGCACAATCACTTGTAGGAAGCTTAGCCCGGTCGGGCATTGTCATTGGCAATGGGTCACTGGGATGATGACAGGTTCCTCGCCTGCATCCTGATGACTGGAGGTCACCATAGCTACCTTCGATCCGACCCATCCCGATGCTTGGGACGTCTTCAGCCCTGTCTGTATTGAGGATAAAAATAGATGGCGACTCCAGATGAATCCAGCCTTCCAGGCCCTTGCTACTAGTATCATGATAGTGCGAGATAGTGAAAAAGTATAAGGTCTGCTAGCTGATTGTTTCCAGCTGCCAAGGGTGTCTAACCACTGGAGGCAATATATATATCCGCCATCACTTTGAATACTAGCCACACGGGCAGATTAGTAACATCATTGCCGGAAATAGATCATGCATCCGCCTCTACAGACTACTACTAAGCACTGTGTACTCCGTAGTTGCAATAAATATGTACGAAGTACATTCTACAATCTGATCTCCAGCCAGCGACTACACTCCTTGTATCAAAGGCATGTCAAATGTCCGAATATGCATGAGACATGGAGGTGACGGAGCGCCACGCCCATGGGAGATCCGCCCGGAGTGGAGCCGGCCAAGTCGAACGCTGGGAACCCAGGCAATCATGGTTCGTCGGCCACCACATGGTGTATACCGTACGGAAGACCATTTATCCTATTCATCTCGTTTGCGAGGATTGCTCCATCGGGGCCAGGATTACCCACGTTCTTGGCTTGGATGCTGAAATTAGGACGGGACGAGTGCCTCTATAAGAAGAGAGAGGTCAGCCTCATGGTCTCCCCTGATTCCTGACCGAAGTCCGTGGGAGTGCCTGAGGGGAGCCTGGCATCCGGTTGCTGCCTGGGGCGGGTAGTGATTGGGCGGCTCGCCTGACACGGACACACTAAGTCACTAACAGTTAACACCGTGACCGTTGATGCTGACCGGATGGGGCAGAGATCCTGGCTGACGATGAGACTGGCTGTGTCGAGCTGGGTCATCCAACAGCAACGAGGCTGTATCCATCCCGATGATTGATGGAATTGTTGATGCAGGCTGACCGACAAGAATCCCCATTGTGCTTTGCTCCTGACCTCCCTCTCGCCGGCCCTCCTTTTTGACCTCCCAAAGGAGTAATGGACAGGCATTGCCGGAAATGGAATTTTGCGTGGCTGATCCACTGTGGGCCATCCAGGTCTGCTTGACGGATTGAAACCAATCACACCGAGGCTAGCCTCGCTTGCCCGGAATATCAGCCGGGCCGGGCTCCACGGGCTGCGCGTCTTTTCGGAGCAAAAGCAAGTCGACTTTGGCTGCTTTCTTCCCAAACTCGCATGGCTGCTCGGTCTTAACTCTTAGCTACGATAGTCGCTCGGGCTAAATCGCCGCTAGTAGGCATCCTCATTCTTGGGTCCAATGGGATGCCTCCGGCTGTCGTCATCCACTGGAGCCGATCCGGGAACCATGACAGTCCGCCGAATTTTCTCGACGCCCGGCTTCAACGCCTGCTCCTCCCATCCCCCCCATCCGGTCCCCCCTCAGCGTCGTCGTCGCGGTCGTCGTCGTGGTCGTCGCAATCCTCTTCCTTTGGCAATGAGGGCAGGAGCCTCCGTCTGGACCCTTTCCAGTTCCCTCCGGTCAACTTCAAGGGACGCTGGGTCATGAGCCAGTTTAAATATCCGCCAGTGACCATGGGTGCCCCTCGACGGTTATCCCCCGGATAAGGATTTTACGCCAGTGGAGCCGGCCTGCTGACGACAGAGATCTCAACGCACACGCTACTCTCGTTTCCAAATGCACCGCCCGGCGTGGCTATAGCCCTGGCTGCATCGTTCCTGACGGGCCAAAACGGAATGGTCATCCTCCTGCCAACCTGCCACCACTTGGACAGCCTCATCCGCGGGCGATTCTGGTAGTCCCCCCGGACCGCCAGATCATATCGCACCCGTAACCATGGCCGCTGGTCCAGGTATCGCCACTCTTTCCCAAGGCTTAGACTTTGATCCCCCGCCATCTGGTCCTCCTATTTGCTGTGGCCCGTAGCTACTCGTTTCCCCCTATATATAGTTCTTGGGCACGTATCCAATGATCCATGGGTGCTCCACTCCTCTAGCAGCTGGGCTGTCGGTTTATCTAGGCCCTAGTCCAATCCCAAGGCGTTACCGTTGCCTGGTGCCGTTGTCGTCTCCAGCCTTTTTTTCCCTTGGCCCTTTTTTCCCTCCTGGGGGCTCCTGTTTATTTTTGTGCCTCTAATTTGCGGTGTTATTTTTGGGAGTCTTTCTTTGCCCAGCCCCAGAACCTCCCTAGAACCCTCGTCATTCTTCTTTCCTTTCCCCGTGGCCTCAAAAGACCCTCCCTCGACGCATCTCCAAGGCCATCCCATCTTCAACCTTCAAGATGGGTACGCCAACACCCTACTCGGCCCATTCGCCCCGGGAGAGCGAGAGCAGCTACTTTTCCCACACCTCTCCGTCCAATGCAGTGAGTCTTCCGTCCGGTGTTCCGACTGGGCTGTCTCTAATTTGGATAGCACCCGCCCTACCACGCGGATGAGCCTGAACACGATGAACAGGAGCAATCTCTGCTGCAGCGCAACACGTCCAGTCATTACGGCACCCCCTTTGATGATCCCGCCGTCTCGACCGACTCCCTGCGGCGGTACACCCTGCACGATTCCGGGCCGTCGGTCTTCGCCGCGCCCGCTTATCAAGAATCCGAAGGCGCCTCCGACATTTACAATGCCCGGAGTGCGGGCGACAAGGCCTCTCGGGAGGGGAGTCGCGCGGGAGCCCTCCGCCGTTATGGAACGAGAAAGATCAACCTGGTGCAGGGTTCCGTCCTGAGTGTCGATTACCCCGTGCCCAGTGCCATTCAGAACGCCATTCAACCCCAATACCGGGATGCCGAGGAGGCCTTTTCCGAGGAATTCACGCACATGAGATGTAGGTGCTGCGCGATTTGGTGACGGCCGTGTCCGGCTGACCAAGAATTAGATACGGCCGCCACTTGTGATCCGGACGAGTTCACGCTGCGCAATGGATACAATCTCCGGCCGGCCATCTACAATCGGCATACCGAATTGCTGATCGCCATCACCTACTACAACGAAGACAAGGTGTTGACCGCCCGTACTCTGCACGGTGTGATGCAGAACATCCGCGATATTGTCAACTTGAAGAAATCCGAGTTCTGGAACAAGGGTGGTCCCGCCTGGCAGAAGATTGTCGTCTGCTTGGTCTTTGACGGTATCGAGCCTTGCGACAAAAACACACTGGATGTGTTGGCGACCGTGGGTATCTACCAGGATGGAGTCATGAAGAAGGACGTTGACGGGCGGGAAACCATCGCGCACGTTGTGAGTCGCTTTCCCGCGCCCCTTTTTGTCGGAGGTCCGAGACCGCCTTCGGGTCGGTGGGCCGCGCCGCAGCCGGAGCCCGACTGACTGATCGCCGCAGTTCGAATATACCACCCAATTGTCCGTCACTCCGACGCAGCAGTTGATCCGCCCTCAGGGCAATGAGTCGACCAATCTGCCCCCCGTGCAGATGATCTTCTGTCTGAAGCAGAAGAACAGCAAGAAGATCAACTCCCACCGTTGGCTGTTCAACGCTTTCAGTCGGATTCTCAACCCGGAAGTCGTCATTCTGCTGGACGCTGGTACCAAACCCGGCCACAAGTCTCTGCTCGCCCTCTGGGAGGCCTTTTACAATGACAAGACCCTTGGTGGCGCCTGTGGTGAGATCCACGCGATGCTGGGTCAGGGTTGGCGCAAGGTCCTCAATCCCTTGGTCGCCGCGCAGAATTTCGAGTACAAGATCTCCAATATTCTCGACAAGCCCCTGGAAAGTGCGTTCGGTTATGTCAGTGTGTTGCCTGGTGCATTCTCGGCGTATCGCTATCGCGCTATCATGGGTCGGCCGCTGGAGCAGTACTTCCACGGTGACCACACGCTCTCGAAACGTCTCGGCAAGAAGGGTATCGACGGCATGAATATCTTCAAAAAGAACATGTTCTTGGCCGAGGATCGTATTCTGTGCTTCGAATTGGTGGCCAAGGCCGGTTTCAAGTGGCATCTGAGTTACGTCAAGGCGTCCAAGGGTGAGACCGATGTTCCGGAGGGCGCGGCCGAATTCATCAGTCAAAGAAGACGTTGGCTGAACGGTTCGTTTGCTGCTGGTTTGTATTCGATCATGCATTTCGGCCGTATCTATCGCAGTGGTCACAGCATCATCCGCATGTTCTTCCTGCACATTCAGATGGTCTACAACGTTTGTCAATTGATCATGACCTGGTTCTCCCTCGGTACGTTTGCCACCTCTTGTCGGGGTCATTACTAACTGGTACAGCTTCCTACTGGCTGACTAGTTCCGTCATCATGGACCTGGTCGGTACGCCTAGTACGAGTAACAAAGAGAAGGGATGGCCGTTCGGAAACGAGGCCTCGCCCATTGTCAACAACTTTGTCAAATACGGTTATGTCTGGGTTCTTGCGCTGCAATTTATCATGGCTTTGGGTAATAGGCCGAAGGGGTATGCCTCCCGCTTAATCTGAAACGAGAAAAACAACTAACGTCGACAGTGTGAAAATCCCTTACATCCTGTCTTACCTCTACTTCTCCCTGGTCCAGTTATACGTCTTGATTCTGTCCTTCTACCTGGTGGTGGGCGCCTTCAACGGCGGCATGATGGATTTCAACTTCGACGAAAGCGTGAGCACGTTCCTGGCATCTTTCTTCAGCTCCAGCGGTGGAGGTATCGTTTTGATCGCCTTGGTGTCGACCTACGGTATCTACATCATCGCTAGTGTTCTCTACATGGACCCGTGGCACATTCTCACCAGTTCTTGGGCCTACTTCCTGGGTATGACCACTTCGATCAACATCCTCATGGTGTACGCCTTCTGCAACTGGCACGATGTCTCCTGGGGTACCAAGGGATCCGACAAGGCCGAAGCCCTGCCCTCCGCTCAGACCAAGAAGGACGACGACAACAAACAGAACTTCATCGAAGAAATCGACAAGCCGCAAGCCGATATCGACAGTCAATTCGAGGCGACCGTGAAACGCGCGTTGACGCCGTGGATCGAGCCGGAGGAAGAGGGCGGCAAGAGTTTGGACGATGCCTACCGGAACTTCCGTACCGTGTTGGTCTGTCTGTGGGTGTTTAGTAACTTGCTGGTTACGCTGTTGATTACTGCCACGGGTGTGGACAAGATGTGTTTGACTGTATGTCCCCATGCCTCCATGAACGGTTTAAATAAACCAAACTAACCGAAATAGAACACCTCGACGACGCGTACCTCCTGGTACTTCGAAGTCATTCTATGGATCACGGCCGGTCTATCCCTGTTCCGCTTCATCGGATCGATCTACTTCCTGGGTCGCTCGGGTATCCTGTGCTGTGTGTCCCGTCGTTAAGCCAGCCTGCCGCCACCGCGATGGCTATAACCGCAGTGGTGCATCAACGGAGCAAAACTACTTTCTGCATGATTATGTCGTGTTCTCCAGCGCGTGGGTCCATGGGATTGTACATTTATGGCCATTGCTGATTCCTTTTTTCTTTTTTCTTTCTTCTTTCCTTGGTTCCTTGATTCCTATGCAATGATAATAATAGAGCGAGTTTATAGTCCGTCTGATCTAGCTGGGATTGATTTGACTGATCTGATACCGATATTGATACTAGCGAAGATGACTGAAAATGACATGATTATTGCTGACTAGAGTCTGCTGTACCAGCAGCGACACCATTTCCCTGGACAAACACAGCTTCCAGCAAGTACTTTGTAGTATGATCTACATCAGGTTACCAACCAACCAACCCCCAGCAATGACAATATAACCTCCCCTTCACATTAGATCCCCTCCCACCGAGCTATCCCTATTCAACCCTATCCTATTTTATTCAATTTCGCCGCCGAATACAACACTCTCCACAGCACCCCATCATCCATCCCATTTCCCGTCTCTGGACGTTCGTCTCCTCGACCATGCGCCTGATGCTGGTCCGAAGCTCGTAGATTTTGAGATCCAGGGCTATGACGCGGTCGAGGCTGGGGTCGGCGGGTGTTGGGGCTGTGGTTGTGGTGCGTTTGCGGGCGGGGAGGGGAGAAGGTGAGACGGGGCGTTTTTTGGTGGTGGTGGGGGGTTCGGGGTTCATTTTGGTGGGTGGGTGAGGGTGTGAGAGGAGGAGAAGATTTGAATGGGAAGTAGGTGAGGAGAAATGTGAAATAGAGATGGGATGGGGAGGGAGGGAGGGGGTGAATATAAAAGTATTTTCGGGGAGAGGTATGCGTTCACTTTGTGGTTTTGGCTGGGGTAGATGTCGTATTTTAGTTTGGATGGGATTGAATTATTGGAGCGAGGTTTGATGGGTAAGACCGTTTGGAGGATGGAGAAAGAAGTGTGGTAAAGACAAAGGTCCGGAAATTGGCAGAGAATGGCTTGGATGGTTTCAAGGACACGAGAACAAAGAAGGTTATGCATCAAGAAAAGTTGGGAGTCAACAAGGAGAGATACATGTAATTGTAACAGCCAAGAGAATCTCAGGCAAAGCGACATTGATTTCTACGACAGTCCTTGGTTACAATCTTGCAGATGGAATTGAGGGCGAAAAGGGTCCATTGTTCCCTAGCTACCCTCTGCACGGGACTCAGCCCCCCACGTATAACAATCGAAGCAGGAACTTAGCGAATGTGCCATTCTTCCAGAGCCCCAGTAATAGTGAGTCTTGAATCGAACAATATGGAAGTAGCAGACAATTGCAAGAAGGTTACCTACGGAAAGCGCCATGTCGGAACCTGACCATCCTACAATATGCCAGATACCGACTGGATAAGCAGATGCGAGTCTACATAAAGACTATAATCCCTTGGATATCACAACAGTCAGGCAAATCGACTAGATCACATTCTTTTGCATAGCTTTCCAGACGGGGAAGTGCCGTATACGAAAGGCACTTACCATTACATGGTCATGGAACAGGATTCAGCACCTGTTCAATCCAAAGACAAGCCGGCCCTCTGCAAAGTAGATTTAAACCATAGGCGATGAAAGACGACCAAGACCAATCCTACTTCCACGACGGAACTGCAGCACTCTATCTTTGCAATCGAGTGATATGCAATCTGGTTACGCAAATCATTCTAGTAACCTACCCAGATGGCGGGAATATTACACGACTCAACCTACCTTAACTCCCATCTAATTCCCCCTGAGGAGTGTTGAATATGGGCAAGGCATCGGCATCTCTGCCGAAGACGCCACTACAACAATATCTCCTGCGTGGTCAGGGCTCTTACATACCGTTCAACACCTGCCCGATACACACATCTTCACCCTCATTCAATGCCGTCCTGCCAGAGTAGTCATCGCCCAATGGTGAGGATATAACACCAGTCCGCGCTAATCAAGCGGAACGATGCATCCCACAACCGCTCGCAGGCAGTGTTAGCAGTCGAAGCTACTGGAATTCCCACCCGACGGTCTGGCTCGAGACTACTCCTAATGAGAGGACTACCCGCGACCATTATACGGAAAGATATCATCGCCGCTTCCAACGGTCTATACATGAAGATTGATTCCCTCAGCCAAAACATGTCTTGTCTTCTCCAAGTCGTACAGGAGGTTCAAGTCCTACGTCATTATTGCTATGCTCGACTGTTCTAAATCCTTTCCAAATAGAAGGAAATAAGTATAAGGTATCAAGATGATGAGAGATAGAAAGCATCGTAACCGCTGAGGTCTCTCTTTCCAAATGCTAGGCAGATACGATCTGGTGGCTGGCACTGCCACCACAGGGTGAGTTAGTGTACCACACTGCTTCTTTCGTCACGACTTTGTAGGTTGTGACATTGTTTGGAGTTCCGGGTTAGTTTGCTCCTCAAAGTGAAGATCAAAATCGATGGTAATATCATACTCTGATGAAATTTCATGTTGTGATGCATCGTATCTCTCAGACTTAATCATTCCATCACGTAGAAAAGCATCGGGCCTTGTCTGAAAAGCGCCATGGTGAGATTTGAGATCGTCTCATGACAACACTCTGCTTGCATCCCACTGCATGAGGGCCAGGGGTAGGCGAGAATCATAACCATCAGGTACCACACGAAGAACGGCATGACCTCTGCCTGGCCGTGTCACCCCAAGGAATCGAGCTGACGTTGCCGATCGTAAGCAGTCCAATCACCTGCTAAACTAGAGTAGAGCTTGTCTGGCCGACGGGCAAAAGGGGCTTCTTTGCCCCCCGCCCACCCACCGAATGGCCTCGGAAGGTTCCGAGACCAACACGCACTGTTCGACGGTCGGCGTAGGCAGCCATCGAAAATTTTGCAGGTTGCAACATGGAATCCACAGTAGGATGGTTAGGTTCCTACATTCTGCAAGCCGTCCTGAGTGGGATGGGATGGGATGGGATGATTGCGTGGTCAGCCTTATAGGGCGCCGGTCTGCAACGGAATCCGCGGATTCCAGGCCTCCACCAGCAGACACCAGAGAATATAGGCTTTGAAACCTGGCTGCCTACGGACCCTTTTGGACTGTCCCATGGTGTGCATATCTCCTTGTCTCTGTCAGTCTTACACTAGGTCTGTCCTCGTTATCTCATCTCTGTTCCCCATTCTTTTCCATGAATTACTTCCGAGGCTGAAATCAGACTGACACCTAGTCACTCCTTACATCCGTTCAATTCCCCGGCTGGACATCATGCGTCTTCGTTCGCTCTGCGTGACAGGCATCTGGCTGGCCAGCTGTGCTGCCACCCCCATCCCCGACCATCCTGGTGACGGTCTTCTCCCCCAGACTCCTCTTTCGACTCCTCACTCGCCGCCCGTGGTGACCGGCCATGAGATCCATATTCCTTGTGCAAAGGGACCAGGGCCCGAGAGCGACCACGAGAAGTCATCCAAGGCATACCTGGTACGTGCGCCCGTAGAAATCGTCACCATTGATAGCCACTGATATATCTCTAGGCGATGAAATTCCATACCGAAAGCAATGCTCTTCTCGCCAACAATGCCTCCATCTTCCCGGCTTCATACCCCATGCATCTGCCTGCCACCCGGTACCAGGAGTCCGGCCAGGGTGCCGAGGATGTACTGTTGCAGTACGCCGTGAATATCGACTACATTCACCCCAATCCCGAAGAATGGATTCAAGACGTCTACCACGTGGAGGTCAAACTCTTCGATCTGGCCGGTCGCCCGGCCACTACCGACACCGTCACCGTTCGACTGTCCCGGCAGCAGCAGGGGGAATTGTATATCTCGCAGATCATGGTGGAGCCCCTTCTTCAGTACCACGATGTCCACGGGGACGGCAACTGTCTCTGGCACGTCAAATACTGGAAAATGATCGTGAGCAAGTACCGCGCCTGGCGAAAGACCCAAGGACACGGCCGGGTGGGATCTCACTGGCAGGCGATACCGTCGGACGACGCAGCAGCAAACACACCAATCCCGACCGCTGATAAGGCTTACACCTCAGACGGGACTAGCACGGCTGATCGAGCAAGACCGGACTCTCACGCGGCGCCCGTCTCGCCGTTTCGAGTATTTGGCGTAGACAGGTCTCCCCGACCGGTGGTGTTGCGTCCCAGCGGCCACCATCGAGATTTCTGGCGACTGGTGGTCCCGGCTATTATCCCGGCGCTGCTGGGGGCGACGGCCGGACTGGTGGTGTGCATGATGGGGTTGCTCGTGTGGAAGATTGTAGTCTGTACGTGTGGGCGGAGACAGGGTCGGAGATGTCGGGAGGCCGGGGGTTGCCAGCGCGAACGATGCGCCAGGTCGGAGAAGCAGCGCTTGCTGGACCAGGATCAGCTGAGCCTGGCGTAACCCATCTTCCGTGCCTGTTGGGGGCCAACTGGCGAGATTATTGGTGGGGGCTGGCTGTAGACTGTCAATGCCAATATATTCAAAACGGGACTGCGATGGAGATTGGCTCCAGGGATTCTAGACCATTTGGGGCGGATGAGGATCCTACGGGGGCTGAGTCGTTACCGAGGGTTAGTCCCGAGGATGGAGTAGGAGTTACTCCGTCGTGGGTGCTCGTATATTCGAATCAAATCGAATGGTTGAGTGGCACCGCCCACATGCTGGCTGCTGAGTCTGCCTACGACTAGCCGTGCTGGCATTTGGTGTTCCGAATCCGAGCGAGATCCACAGATTGGTCAGGGCACTCTGCTGCTGCCTGGAGCAGAGAGCAGCCACGCACCTCAGCCGCCCATCCCTTCACTCAGTTCACTGCGTCATGGTGCCCAAACCGGTCTTGGTACATCTGTCACAGCTGCCGCGCAACCCAGATCAGACTGGTTTATCTGCGTCGATCATGGTGAAAACACCCTGTGCAGCTGCGAGACGCCGTGGGAGGGAGGAGTGAGGACAGTGAAACCAATGACCCAGGGACGGAGCGCCCGGCTACACGGCGGTCCACTGTGACGAGCACACCGCATGTCATTGGACAAGCCTTCTTGGGAAGCTTAATCAAAGCTTAGCTGACCGCCAGTGGACAGTTGGCCCCTCTGGATAAGGGGCTTGGCACTGCCTCCAAGGGGCAGCAATCGTCGGTCCCTGAGCCACACCGCACATGCCACTGTCCCTCCACTTCACAGCAGGGCTGAGCCAGTGATGTCACTCCCCATCGTCCGACAAGAATAGCAATTTAGCTGTCACCAGTCACAGTCACCACTCTGTAGCCGACCAGCAGTGGAGACCCATCGTGGTGGCCCAACAGTGAGGTCATCCTCTGTGGTCGCTTTAGGGCTGACGCTGCGGATGCCGAGGACACCGACACCCCAGATTCCGCCAACTGATAAATACATGGCCCCCGGGGCTGTTTTTTGTTTCTTCTCAGATACCCGTCCTCTCGATACCCGCCCATTCCGGCTTACAGCATTTCACCTCGCCATTTTTCATCCCCCCCTACAAACCACACAACTACATCCACCGTCACCATGTTCAGCTGGTTCAAGTCTTCCAACCAGGAGTCCGCTCCCGCCCAGGCCACCTGGAACCCCAACACTGTGACCATGCAGCCGTCCTCCCCGGAGGTGCCCGTCACCGAGCAGGTCGTCACCGGACAACCCGTACGCCTCCTTCCTTTGCCTCCTACACCGTGCTAATATCACTAGGGCCAGCAAGAAACCATGCAAATGAACCTTCGTGGTGGTGGTGAGGGCGAGGACGTGTGCTGTGGCGTGTACGTTATACCCTCTGCCTTCTGACACACACACAACTAACAATAATAGGTGCGCCGGTCTCTGCTGCTTCGAGTGCTGCGAGTGCTGCTGCTAGATACCCATAGAAGCCACGATCGCGATTGACCATGTACTGTTATTGATGAGTTGTATGTCTTTTAGCCTGAATGATAGATGTTCTATCTAATTAATCTTTTTGCCTATCTATCGTCGCTAGTTTACTTAGTTACTTCTTGTCGCTTGTTTACTTGATTACTTCTTTTGTCTTTTTTTGTTTGCTTCTTTACTTCACCCCAGATAGACCTCGATACGAATGATCATTAGCTATATCCATTTTAAGTCCATTGCAAACAACACAGCACAACTCAATCAACACAACGAATCAATCTGCCACATCGCATCTACTGCAATCTGACAACCCTACCTCCTCCTCAAAGAACATCTACAATACTTCCCTCCAGACATCTATTCCCCGCTCGATATTATACTCTACCTTCAGTCTACCCAGACATTCTCCTGCTAGTACACGATCCAACTGCCTAGGCATCATTTATCGGATCCCGCGGTGTCCATGTGGATGCTCTAATGTCTAGATAACATGGAATGTCCTCAGGGTCCTCATCTCAGCCGGAAACATACCCACTAGGATTGAGCTGTGGCTGAGGCATCACTTGGTTGCTGCCTATCCGTGAGATCCGTCTCTGCGCTAGGGTCCTGTTCCAGCCGAGGCGTCAGGGTTTCACTAGCACCGGCTCATCCAGGAGCGATTAACTCTCGGAAGTGCCCCGTCTATGAACGGTGATTCTGCCACATGTCTGTTCCTAGTCCTCGGAGTATCCCACTGGTAAATGCAAGTGGCACTTTGATGAATACTAGCATCGCTCGGACACTCCGGGCCAGCCTCGAGTGAATCACAGCAAATCACAATCACCGTAGCTGCAGGCCAATACCACCTCAGTGCATGAAGAGATGGTGAGGCAGTGACCGCTAAACCCTGCATTTAATCAATCCGGCGGTTAGAAGGAGTAATTTCCCGTGCGTAGCGCTAGTCTAGCTTTACAGTGAATCCGAGTCCTGTTGAAATTGACTCCTGACTGCCACAACAGGCACAAGAACATGAACAATTTGAAAACCACCCACTGCATCCATCAACGTACACAGAAACTTTCCCAGCCCAACCCATGGTTGAATCGGAATGGGGTATTTAGTATCTACCCCTGATAAACTTTTCGCAGTGCTAACTGAGCGGCCCTGATCCTTAGCCTAACACTAACCACTTTCACCCGCACTAACACCCCCGAATGCTACCAAGTGAGACATGTCTAACCACAGTCATAGCGGGAGGGAAAGACCCTCGTGTTGCGGACCCTGGGTGGTGGAGGCTCTGCTTTTTCATCCTCCGTATACCCTACCCTACCTATCTACCTCGTACCTTTTTTGAGTCTTGGGGGGGCTACTAAGTGCTAATGAATGTGTTGGGTAGGCCAAGGTAGCTTGGCTCTAATATTACTAGTAGAGGGAAGGCCCCTTTCCTCGTCCTTCTGACTTCCTACCTACATACCCTCTCTTTTGAAACCCGAAGAAACACCCAAGAACACCTAAGAATCCCACCCTCCTCCTCACCACCGCCCTCACGTTACTAGGCACCACCCACGCCACCGACACCAGCACCACAGTAATCCCCTACTTTCATCCCCCAACTGGTCCATCGAACTTCCCCAAATACGGCGGGCTGGACCAGCACAGCCGCCAGCATCGCGGGCATCAACGCCCTCCGAACAACCTACGAAGTCGGCTGTCTGAAAAAAAAAAACGCCCCCAAAACCGACTGCGACATGGCGCATTCCTACACCCATCATCCAAGGCCCAGAGACCGTCAGTCTCAGCCAGGTGTATACAGCCTCGACGTCGGGACAAAAGCACGAGTTATGATCTTACCGTCACGAGGTCGTATGAGTGTTCGTTGAGGAGTTATATGGAGGAGGCGAGCTGTACCATGAGTGTGGGGATTACGGGGAGTGAGGGGGGGGGGGGGACGGTGAAGGCGGCGAGTTCGACCAGTTCGGAGTATAAAGGGGGCGTCGAGCTCGTTTTATAGTCTTGTTGTGACCGGGGGGTTGGGGTCGTTGACGGCCCCGGCGGCGACGGAGACGCCTGGTGCTGCTGCTGCTGCTGCTGACGCTCAGCAGATAAAGACTCGATTAAGGAGATACGTCTTAGCAGAAGGATAGTGAGACCAGAAGGCAGCTGGAAGAGATGCCCAGAAGAATACCAAGATTTATCGATATCTTTTTTCATATGTTTTTCCGTTGATGATACTTGATTGTAACTATGTGTTATGGAAGTATGTGACCACGCAGGCGATTTTTGCCAATTCTCATCTGTGCTTGACTCAACAGACAGTCACAGGCCTTGTCAAGATGCACAGCTCGAGCAGAACTAGCACCACTAATCGCTGCATGAGGCAAGTAGATATGATGCCTGGGAAACCAGGTTTCCAATGGCTCCCGAAGGAAGACACGGCCGTGCATGTGGCTGACAAGTTCTCACAAGATAGACACATTGGGACATCAATATTGACAAGGTATCAGTTATCGTGTTGTAGTCTGCTCGAAAATCCCATCCCTCGAGGTGTCGGTTGTAGTGGACGGATGACATTTACATGGATGACGAATTACTAACAGTACGAAGTATACGTCACTGATATACATCTCAGATCACCCACACGGTGTTCTTTCAAGAGGTTACGCCCACTTCCCAATCAGCGCCATAATGCCCGCCCCCAACAACGTACAAAACACCATATACAGCAACTTGGAGCGACGGCGGGTCCGGCACGGATCAAAGATGAAGTCACGGGCGAGCAGCTCCACCAACGAACTATAGATCAATATCCCCGCGGACACGGCATTGAACACGCCTTGGATGATTAACGAGGTCTTCGAGCCCGGATTATATGTCGTGCGCAGACCCAGACCGATCGCGATCGAAATCGGAGTGGTCAGGCCGTATGCTAGACACAGGAGGTAGGGGAGGTGAATGCGATGTCCGAACGGGATGGCGGACAGTCGAGCGCCAATCCCTAAACCCTCGAAGGACTGGTGGAAGACCAGGACCGGGTAGAGGGTAGCGAATTCAGAGCCGGTAACACCCAGGTTCAGACCGATGATGACGGAGTGGAAGATGATGCCGAATTCGAGGATGAGGAAGCCGGCGATTTGTTGCCGGAATGAGCGGTCGGCGAGTTCCGAGGAGGATTCTTCGGTGGTTTCAGTCGGAGTGGCTTTCTCGGTGGATCTGTGGCCATCTTCCGGGCTGGAGTGGATGTGGGTGGTGGTGGTGGTGGTGGGATCGCTCGTGAGGAAGGCGTTGGTGGCGTTTTCGTCGCGGTGCATGCCGTATTTATGCTCGACATAGACCTCGGCGGCGAGATCGAGGAGGAATATCAGAGTAATCGAGGCGAGCACGATGCCGGCGCACCAGGAGTATTCGGACCAGTGACCCGAGACTCCGACGCAGGTTTTGGGACCGATTCGTTTGTAGGCGGGGTCGAGGAGATGGACGAATGCCGTGGCCAGGATGACCCCCGTACCGAAGTAACGGGCGAAGATGTACACGCCGTGGGGGATCTTCCATCTAGGCATGCGTTTGGCCACGACGGGGAAGAAGGTAAACGCCGTGGAGACTAAGAGAATGACAAAGATGGAGGAGATCCGGGCTCCCATGTGGCCGTTGTAGTCATTCTCGGAGACGGCGTAGTAGCATAGCACGTCCTCTTTGCTAGCGGTGTGGAGGTTCACCTCGGATGCATTAAAGGCAGTCATGGTGACAGAGACCGTAGAGGAGGGGGTGGAAGAGGGGATGAAGGAGGAATGGACTGAACGCCTGGCAAGCTGTCGTGGATGGTGATTTATATCTCCTTGGTGAGGACCTTGGGTGTCGCTGAACCGTCCTGAGCGACGACGAGGAGGACATGCCCCCCTTCCCCCCGGTGCGTCGCCATCATCTCGTGTGGTCTAGCTGCAGGCGATGGCCATTTCCCTTCGAGAACTAATAGCATAGCTGGCCACTGCCCTGTCAGGTCAGTGCAGCCATTCAGCCAATCAAGGCTTGCTGTCTCCAAGGTACACAGAATTGCTAAGCGAGCCATCATCGAGCCGGAGGTGTGGATGACCATTACTCGCGAGATTATTCGCAGACAGCAGTAGGGCTGACCCATAGGAAAGCGCCTTATAGGGCTGAGACACCCGACATCCCCAAGGTCCTCACGGATTCCACTTCGGCCTCGCCGACTGGCAGCTGCAAGCGAGTGCAGGATGCAGTGCATTGTCTCCACCGGAAAATGTCATGTTGTGCGAGGTTTTCTCAGATCCGAGTCGCGTGGTGCTCGTGGGATGCTCGTGGTATGCTCATGCCCGAGTCGTGGGAGGAACAAAGTGGACCCGTCAGATATCTCACGGTCGGATTTGGTTCAAAGTTGGAGGACAGTCTGAATTTAATGTCAGGTTCGAGTCAGTCACAGGAAAGAGCTCGTCCCACGGCAGCACAATGGGTGGTTCGTGTGAACGCCTTTGTTGTGGCCAGGGAAGGGCTGGGTGGGTCATGTTACCCAGAAACCCCGATGGTATGGAGAACCCCCATTCATTGTGGTGGATGCCAGCTCACAAAGAGGTCGGCTGACCCCCGACCCAGCCAGAGTCCAGCCGTGGATTATAAGGAGCTGGTTCCCCTCCAGCCATGACACCTCGATGATGAGTGCAATCCCTCGGGAGGTGCAGTGGCTGGTTTTTTACGAACTACCGGTGATGGCCAACTGCCTTTCACCCTCGGCAAAGGGAGCCGGCTCCGGACTGAGGTGGTACTTTTGCTATCTGGTGATGACTGAACACACCTCGAATTCACCCCGAGGGAAGGCGAAAAGCTGACTCGTTAGCCCCTAACCTCGATTCATTTCGCCGGCGCATGTCCCAAACCAGTATCCCGAACCGTGCTATCGAAAGATCCGCCAAGTCTCCCTGACAGAAACGAGATGTATCACATTTATCTGAGCGTCAAACCCGACGTCAACGGTACCCTCCAGCTCAGCTAACGAACCATCTATGTATCCCGTACAGTCGGAAGCTCGCGGATGAGTCGCCTCAGGGGTGGTGGGTGAGGATCAAAGCCTATTATTTGGAATGACCATGGTCAGGCAGCAATGGCATGGCCGGGGATTGAGGGAGCTACCATTATGGTACTTATGATGACCGGTGGCGCCCTGCCTCGAACATTTCTTTGTCTGCCGGTCTTGGCTGATGTGACCCGAAGAGTTTATTGTGCGCTTGGACATTTCCACCGCGTCTCGACAGGAGCATGGACCTCGGATAAGGTTGATCCCTCCCGTGCCTGGAGGTCGAGGTTCACTTTGGAACTGCTTCCAGCCCGTCGGTGGCGTCCGCGGGGGTGTCCCTTCCGCCATCCCAGCAATTGATCCGGCTGTTGGATCGAGGTGTACCCAACCCGGATCCCAGTGTCTATCAGCTGTACTGTGATATTGCCAAGTGATGTCCGGGCACTATCGGCAATCTATTTCAAATGGAGTCCAATGGAGTCCAATGGAACCGGTCAAGGTGCCGAAGCTGAATCCGAGGCAGCTGCGGTTGAGTTTCTTTGTCTGCATCGTGTTGGGAGGGGTTTGGCCGTCTAGACCAGCTCCAATATAAACCCCCCGGCTCCGTACCCGTCTCCCCGACACTGGGACCAATGCTTATTCACGCCGACAACATGGCACTCATCGGGACTGAGGCGGGCATCATCCTGGGCTACTGCCTGGCGATGGTGTCCATCAGCATCATGGGCCTGCGGCTGTACATGCGTCGCTACCGGGGACAGTCCTTCACCCTCAGCGATTATTTGACTATGTTCTGCTGTTGCTGTTTGGTCTTCATCATGAACGCGACCCTCCTGTGCAGCATGTGGGGAAGTTCGGCCTACGCATCCACCAAAAACATGACCCCCCTCGAGAAGGAGCATGTGAAGATGGGCAGCAAACTCTCCTTTGCCGGGTTCCACATTTACGCGGCCTAGTGAGTGCGTCCCTTCTTCACGCTGTGAACAATGCTGAACATGTTAGTCTGTGGGCCCAAAAAGCCGTCGTGCTCTGCTTTATTGAACGGCTGCTGGGCTTGCTGCCCTGGCCATACATCTGGATCCGGGTGTCCTGGGGCATCTTGATTGTAACGTTCATCGCTCTGGAGCTGGTCAACTTTACCGTCTGCATCCCATTGCATTATTACTGGCAGATTGAGCCCCCACGTGCGTATGCGCAACCACGACTTTTAACCGTCCTGACCGCGACCTAGATACCTGCTCTCAGGCCGTCTATCCGCTCGCCTGTCTGATCATTTTGAACTGCGCCACCGATGCTCTCCTCCTCATTCTCCCTCTCCCCTGGCTCTTCAAAGTCCGACAGCCGTTATGCCGGTGAGTGTCCTACCCCCGGCTGCCTATCCCGCCAACTGACTCCAGACCAGCCGCATCCAGCTCCTCGCCCTCTTCTCCATCGGCGGATTCCTAATCATCATTGCTATCCTCCGCCTCGCATACTACGATAACATCTACGACGTGTCCTTACAACTCGTCGTCAACCCGATTGAAGAATGTCTCTCGGCCATCGTGGCCAACTTTCCCACCTTGTGGAGTCTCCGAAGGGCGCGCGAACCCGCTCCTCGACCGGATCCGGTGCGTCCTGTGCCGAGGAAAAAGCCCCGCGCGTTGCATAGTATTCTGATCACGGAGACGGTGGATGTGGAGCATTGTGCGTTGGAGGATCGGACGCAGTCGACGACGACGGACCAAAGTATGGGGGATGAGAGTGATGGACATTTGGTGCGGAATCATGTGTAGCAGGAGGTGGATCGAGCGTGGTGTATATAGCAGTGCTGTACATAGTACGGAGTAGAGGTGCGTACATAACTCCCGTGCCGTCTATGTCTATGCCCTCTGGCTAGGGATGGACTGGACTCATCGTAATAAAACTGCATTAATGATGGAAGTGTTTTCCTCTGTGTGTACAATTCATACAAAGGCCACGTTAAATTCCAACCAGGGTAGCCAGCCACTGCCACCATGTCAACAAGACGCGTTGATCCCCTAGCAGGTCCCGTAACAATCCCAGCTCTACGCGTCCCGGAGACTCCCCTAATCCATCCCCACCACCCCCCTCCATCAACTCGACTCCTCCCTCAAATGCACCCTCGAATATCTCGACCACCCCCTCACCCTCCTCCCCCACCCCCCCAACACCCCCCCCCCAAGTACCAACGGCCCCACCGTCACC